TTATAATTAGTGCAAAAATGTTAAACAAGAATGTTAAGCTGTTTTGAAAATAATTATTCTGAAAAAATGTCAGCTCTCTATGATAAATTAAAACCGATTTACAACAAAAAACCAAAATTGAAAATAACAAAACCATTAATGCAGTTAACTTTCACGATTTTGCTCAATTATGAAAAAAACTATATAGAAAATCAGAAAAATTACAAAATCACCATTATCATAAAAAAAATTGTTGAAAAAATGTCTCTTGTCATTTTTCTATCGGAGCAAGATTTTTGGTATAAAACATAATTAGTAAAAATCTAAAATAATGAAGTCGTGCGCCGTAAATAGTACCGTTTTACCTATACTTTTGTTTCCATGTTTTCCCAATTATTTTGAAAATCGCTTGAAAAATAAAAAATTACCAGTTTAATGCGTCAACTAGATTCAAAATTCAATAAAAAAAAAGTATTTTCATTTTTCGATTGGAGCAAGTTTTCTGTTCGAAAAGTTGTTTACGGATAAAAAAAAAGCACACAGTAAAACCAATAATAGATCCCAAAGATTTTCCGCTCGGAATCTGAAATAACTTCCCTTGATGAGTAGAGGTAATTTTAGATTAATTATCTAGTTAGTGAACTAGATACAGTTTTCTTTTGAAATAATGGGTTTCAACAATAGTTCCTACACATAATACAACGGCTATAGAGATGTGTGTACAGCCTCATAATAAATTAAAATCTTGTACGAATTAGTGCAAAATAATTGTTTTGATTATAATTTAATAGTGGACTACAAGTCAATGTATAATATTATGTAACTTACAGACCACAAAATTCTGGTACACCTATTTAGGTAGATCACTATGTATCATATATATATATATAGGTATACCTACTAACTGAAGTCTACAATTATTCATAATTATATTATTGTAATAAAATCTACTCTATTGTTTTGCAGTAAGTACACGCAGTGCCATGGAGATGGTAGAATAAATTATATAGGTGCCTGCATATTAAAATATACAATTTTACACGGTGGCGTATCTATAAATATAAAAATAAATATTCATAAATAAAAAATTAAATACGTATTAAAAAAATAACGTGGGAAATAATACCTACTCCACAAGGTAGTTTAATACAATTTTTTGTAATCGAAACAATGATGTAAAAAAAAAAAAAAATGTTACCTGTCAAAGATGTAATTTAAGCTGCTGACGTTAATGACTAGCCAAAAACGTTAATGTCTATTTTTTTTTATCTTTAGACAATATCATTTAATGCTTATATACATTAGTAGACAACCACGGTAGTGACATAATATTTTGTTGTTAAAATAATGTATTTTATATACGTAGTTAATACCCAGTGTTTCCTCTCGGAAACGCGCACAATCTATTCAAAAGCGAAAATCCTAAGAAAATATTAATTTCAACAAGTTTCCCGTTTCTACCTCATTCCTATCAAAGTTGGTAAATCAAATGGAAAACCTAAACACGATACTTTCTAACTCTCTATCAAAATCCAAAATGCAATACAAAATTTTTCTCCAAAAACTCCTGCGCACGCCAATATATGGCTATGAATGTCATCATTTCCAGAAAAATCTTCATTATTCAGATCGGTGTTCACAAAGGAGGGTTCCTATTTTAAAAACAAAAGTATATACCTATTTAAGGTACATGAAATAAGGGTGCAAAATTAAAAATGATTTTTAAAATAAAGCATAGTCGATTCCAAAATGGTCAAAAATAAACAGATATCAAATTCATTTAAAAACCTCGGAGACAACTGCTGGTTCATGTTAAAAAAAATCACTCTATATTATCTAAAATTTGTTCGAGTGACTACTTGCCCAAACAACTAATACGCAATTGGAATTTCCATTTTCCGATAAATTGTCACCAACTTATTGAAAATTAACAAATAGAACATCAAATATGCTATGTTTTAAGCGGCTTTTTAACTAATATACAGAAATCTTCTGTGACATTTTTCTATTATTTTAACAGTTTTTCCTATAGTAAACCTTCTTACCTTTAAAATCTGAGTCGAATGTATCCAAAATCAAATTAAGTATATACATTGTATGAATGTTATACTATAAACAAAATCCTAATTTAATAGATATTGCAACTTTTTTGATAGCAGATAAATACAAATCTGATCAAATGTGTACACGAATCGGACTACTGATCAGTCTTCCTATTTAATTTTGTGTTACAACTTTTCGCCATTTTTATATATTTCTAGTGATAAAACATAGGGTAATTTTACACTAAAAATATAACCATGATGTAAATTTTTACATACGGTTTTTCCTAAGAATAGAAAAGTGTTCAATATAGATACAGTTATACGAGTGTCGTGATAGTGATATTATAAAGATATCAATAACAATAATAGTTTATTGGCCGAAATATTTCCGCGCATTTTCACCAGATTCCCCCAGTGTGACGCCTATATTTACTAAAAAAATACTCTACTCTGACCATACCACATTATAAAACAATGCCCATACCAAATAATCACATTTTGTATAACATTTTATTTTATCTACGACTATCAGCGGAATCGCTGTGTTTCCTGATATTACCTTCATCGAAACGTATAAGGTTAGTTTTACATTTTGAAATACATTTTTAGTTCTGCATAAAACTTCATTAAAAAGAAATAACAATAAACAAAAACAACTTCTTATACTTCCCAAAAGTTGACGAATAAAAATATAGTTTTTGAAAATATATGTAATGCATTAGTTTCTGAAAATATTCCTGTACACAAACTGTGCTTTCCAGTATTAAATATTGAATAAATTGGAAAAATATGCAAATAAAATTATTCCAAACGAAAGTAGTCTAAAAACAAATTGCATTCCAAATATTTATACTAATATAATGAATCAAATAACTAATGAAAATGAAATTTTCAAGAACACAATTTAGAATGTATACAATTATCCATTTTAATTCAGATAAATAATGTTTTTTAATTTTAGATTAGGAGCCTAACAAGGAATCTATTGGTTTTACAATGATGTATATTTGTTTTTAGATTCGAAAATAAAACTAATTATTTTAATACAAATAATTCATAAGTAAAACAAAATTGAACGTTTTCTTCTTTTTTTGAATTTCCTTTCAATTTTTCCACACTAATTTTATTTGTCTAGTGTATTATTATCCTATTCGTATATTTAAGTAGTAGGTACCTTATAGAAATATAGAGTATGCGAGTATATTTGTATATCTGAGAATAGTATACGGAATATGTAAGTTTTCATTATTAAGATATTTTAGACTGAGCATCTGAATCATTAATATTTGTAGGGAAATACTATTCAACTTTAGAAATATATTGGTAAAATGCACAATTTGGGTGAATCAATCTAACTATAGATTTTTTATTTTAAGTACCTTGAGTATTTTATAATAGAAAATGCGCGCGAGACCAAAGACTAAGAATTGTTTTGGTAAGAAATAAAATGTCTGGGCGTTGTGTATTTTAAGTTGCCTATACCACAGAAATTAAAGAAGTAATTTTATTCAAAGAATAAAATATACACCGAATTTAGTCACACCGTCAGTTAGCGTAGGTGTAAGTACCTCATAAAGTTAATTTAATATTGAGTATGGTATTCCTAATGTAAAGAGTGTTTTTCAGAGTCTCATAATTTTTAAAATAATCTGTTTTTTTTTTCTTTTCTGTTAATCTTCTTCTATTTATATAAAAACAAATGTACCTATGTCTATTTGTCCTTTATGCATTACTTTACCATTCATCCGATTGCCATGAAACTTTGGGAAGTTGTTTCACGTTGTCCGGAGAAGGTTTGTAACTATTTAAATCCACCCCCTATTGATAACATTACCTAAAATTTGGTTTTTCGGTATTTTAGTATAAAAATCTATTTAAATATTTTTATTAATATATGAGTTACTCGGTAACACGAATAAAAAAGACTTAGTTGTACATTTTTTCAGTACAATCCCTGTACTATGTGGGTATCTATGGTAATAGAATATAATGATAATTTATGTATTAACTTTATTTAAAAAATGTTTTATTGCACGGGCAAAACGGAACAGCTTGTTGCATAACAATAATCATACCCGTACAAAAAAAAACATTATAATTATCATAATTAAAAATGGCAATACAAAATTGTATTTGTTTCAGATTCGGAGTGTACCGAGGGATCTATTGATTTTCAATGGGTTTTCAAAATAATTGGGAAAAATCGAAAGAAAATTAAAAGTAAAACCATTAATTATAGAATAGACTGTTCCAAATCGTTTCGTTCAACCGAATACAATGTATGAATTGGTATTAATTCGTGTTCAGAAACATGCTCGAATTCGCTGGAAAATAACGGACCTCTGGGGATAGCGAAAATCGTCATCGCTTAGCTAAATCGAAATATCAATATTTCGAGCTATTCCGTCGATTGCGATGCATCGATAACAGCTTGTTACCAATATATCAACCGAATGTATCTTTGAACGAATTTTTCGCAAGGTAGTCGTGCCCGAGGTGGATTATTTAATCCACCGGTGTTCAACCTTTTACGAATGGCGACCCCCTAATTTTGTTTTCATTTAAGACGACCCCTTCAAAAATCGTTTAATAGAACTTGAATAATACGATGTAAGGTGTACACGATACTGTCTGTACACGCGATTTCAAACGAAATAATACAGTAACATTGCGCCCAATAAATGTAAAACTCTAATTATGGATCGTGGATGTATATTATTGTACGCGCGGCTATTATATACATTATAAAATATATTATATTTAGCCACGATTGCGTGTATATTGCAATATCTTATGTCATCTTTATTCCACGGCCATTGGTCACCAATCAGTGTGTCAACATTTGGCTTCAAATAACAGTTAATAACAACGCGATAAAGACAAATCGTTTGAGAATTTTGTTTTATTTACCAACTGGCAACTACATTTCGACAATATCGAAAGATTATATCGATATCCGACAAATATCGAGGATAAATGACGGTACAAAAATATCAGTACATCCAACGTACCGACCGATACATCGTCGCCATCCCTAGAATCCAGATTCTGGAATATTCTGACTTCGGCGCCACACTCGAGAATATTCTCCTTGCAATGTGTACGCCGACAACCGTACCGACACGTCGTCAATCTATTTTTGCAGTACGTGCCGGTCGGATCGGAATCGTTCTGTTCGTCAGCCCTAAATCGCCGCTTGGAAATCAATACCGAATTTTAACTTCCCTCAGAAATCAAAATTATTCGACAAAGCGATTGAAAATTTGTGTTGTCATCCGATTCGAATTGATAGCGAAAAAGGTATGTATTTCATGTTCATATCAGTTTGAAATTTAAATGCATACCTACACAAGTATTTTTCTGACTTTAATTTAACTTCTTTAACTTTACTAACTTTACATTATATTTTACGATAAACAAAACTATTATCTTTTTTAATTACTTTTTAAATTATTCTATGAAAACTACATAACTAGGTACCTACCTACCTATACTAATTATTGTGCTTAATATTAGTTAATTTGCTTTATTGCTTAGGTATATACCTACCCATTATATTAGATACTATATAATATGCCTAAGATTTCCATTCAATAGATATACCAAATACCATTGATTATAAATACTAATATTTAATGATACTTTTTTTTTACAAACTTACTATTGTCATTATTGATTTATTTGAGAATTTTGATTTTTATGTTGGCAGATTTATAAATCAAAATAATTAGGTACATTTTATGTAAATATGTCTACCTACCTAGTAAAATTAAATTTTGACAATTTGAATAAAATATGAATAATACAAATATTTTACTTATAAACTTTTATTTGTTTTCTATATTAATATATTCACTCTATCTAGAGTAGAGTAGAACAATTTTTTTTAAAACCATTTTAAATGGATTAATATTACAATATATTAATATTTAATGTATTGGTAATGCACAATATATACTTGATAGACATAATAATACTAGTTTTATAAATGTATTATAATTGTATGGCAATTTAATTGTTAATTACATAAACATATTTAGATTTATATTCTTTTTGTTTTCCAGATGTCTCTCTTGACGTTCTTATTAGTTTTATTAATTTTTATTAGTTTATATAGTATATTGAAAATGGATTAGGTACACTACTTGTAACTTTTGTTATGACTTGGCAGTGTAAAATGATTTCTATAATATATATATATATTTCTTTTTAGATGTCTCTCTCTTACCATTTTTATTGGAGGACCTTTCACACCCAACCGTTTACGATCAGGATTTTGGATTGGAATTGTTAGATGATATATTAGTACCAACAGAATATAGCTCTCATTTTGGAAGAAATCCTTTTGGACTTAGAGGTTATCAAAGACCTATGCGTCTTGTGGCAGCGCCTAAAAGTGGTTTGTCTCGTATTCGCAATGACAAGGATGTGAAGGTGATCGATGATTACATCATAGTGGATGGCAAACATGAAGAACGCAGTGATGAACACGGTTTCATTTCTCGTCAGTTTACCCGCCGTTATAAAATCCCAGACACTGTTGACCCAAAATCGATTACATCATCTTTGTCATCGGACGTTGTGCTCAGCATTGGTGCTCCCAAGAAGGTATAGTTTAAGATAATATTTACTGTTGAGGTTTAATCATAAATAATATCATAGATATAATAATAATAATTATGTCTATGCATAATATTTAATAGTATTATCAACAGGTATAACATATTAATGATTTCTGTCAAATAATTTAGGTTGTCAATAATAAAAAAGAGATATCCATTCCCATTATTAAAACTAATGAGCCCAGTATTAAAGTATCATCTAGCAAAGAAAATAAGGCAGAAGAAATAGTGGATACTAAATAATGAATTAATAATTATGATCGATAAATTTTCTACTACTTTCACTGTTTAAGACTCCTAAATATATTCCTATTTGTTTCAATACTTTCAACTTTTTGTATTCCTTAATTTTTTTTTTTTTTTTTAATTTAAATTTACCTGTTAAGAACGTTATAAGTAAATAATTAAATTGTTTCAAAATACTTATTATGTAAACTTATAATTTTTGAAGTATTTGTAAACATAGATTTATGATGATAATAAAACTAAGTTATTGCTGAAGTTTGTTTATTTTATTACTACTAAGTATCTATTATTTAATAATATTTAAATTCAAGTGCCTAATTAATGACTAGTAAAAAATAAGTTAATCTTGAAATGTTAACATTGTGACAATGTATTAATTATATTAATGTTAAGGTTAACGGAAACAATAAATACCAAAAATATCCACTTGGATACCAAAAATAACTCACTAAATAATCAACCAATGACACCAATGAGAAATATTATTTCAATGTCTGCTTGTTAAGTTAATAGTAATCTACATTCTACATGTGTATAAAGACACATACATAGTCGATTCTTGTTATTTTATTTAATCATCACTCTATTACACCAGGCTATCAGTAAAAACTGTTTTAAATAACAAATGTATTAATTTAAAAAGTTACCTGTTCGTTCATATGGGTATCCTTTACCCAAGTCAATTGTTTAGGTTGTCTACCATTAACTTGCACCACGTCATTTAAGAAATCCATCTTTGTCGAGCACAGCAGTATTGATTTCAGTTTTCTCAGTACCAAAGAGCCTGAAAATTGTAATGATTTTAATTTTGAAATAAATTAAACACAATCTTTAAAATAAAATATTAATAGTAGGTATCCTTTAAATAATGTAAACAAATCTCACCATTTAAAAATATAATGGATCTTATTGCTAAAATCTGAACAATTTAAATGAAATGTAAAAGGACTAAAAATATTCTTTTAATTTAATAAATTTAATAAATTACTATAAACAAAAATGCATAAAAAATGTTTATATATTAATTAAACAATGTATATTATTATAAGATATAAATAATCTGCAAATTATTTACTTTAAAGATATTTAATTATGTAAATCCATTAAAAACAAGTAAATAACATTATAAATACATAATATACATAAGTTTATACTGAGTACTAGTAATTTAAAAACTTAAAATATTAAAATAATAATAAACAAAATAAACATATACATCAAAAACCTTTTATTCTGTAAATGAAGTTAGTTCCAGTTTAAATAAATAAACAATTACTAGGCTTCAATTTGCATTGTCTTTACAATAATATTTTTAGATTGTAATAATTTAAAATAATATATAAAATATAAAAAATAAATCCTTTAATAGTTTTATATTATTAAAATATAATAAATATAAAATTAAAATAATTAAGAATTTTCACAAATTGTGATAAACTGATAAATATTAAATAGTATACATCAAATTTCAGTAACAAACAATTAAAACATTTTTTTTTTCTAAAATTGTATACCATTAACAGTTGCTTGGGCGACATAATTGGTGCAACAGAACCAAAAGAAGAAACTCATTGTACCCACTTTTGATAAAGGCCAACTGATTAACCACGAAAATGGGGAAAACCATTCAGATGGTAATTGGTCCAACACAATTTCATAACGGTATTTGGAAATAAATATGTAATTTGAAACAACCTAAAATAAAAAATTATTATTAATAAAAGAAAATACAGAAACACATCTGTGTTTGTATATTGGTTTTTTTGATATTTTAATTTTTAAGCACATAAATCATAATTTAAAAATAATATTCATAAACTTATGGCCCTTTTAAAATTAAAATTCCAGGAGAATATCATCTCTCCCCTGAGGTAACCGTCAATGGAATTATTCTACCAATTGATACAATCAATCAACTATAGTTGCTTTTATCAGGTTCTGCCTCATATTCAAATTGGAAAAGACTCAACAATCTCCAAACCTCTTGTCTCAGGTCTATTATTGATGCGTTAAAATCTACACCCAATTTCGCTATCGAAATAGGAACCGTATCTCTCTGTCCAGCTATCTTCCTCCATCTGTTTCTTCTTACACTGTCAAATGTTTTCACATCCTTGAAGCACTTAAGCTCTTATCTACATTAGCCCCTAACAATTTTCTTATCACCTCCGACTCCCTATCTTACCTGCGAGTACTCACCACTTCTAAATTGGGTTCTCCCCCCTCTTCTATTTTTGTTAGTATAAGACAATATAGTCTTAAGTCTCTCCATTTTTGTGATTGAATTTTCATGGATTCCTGGTCATGCAAGTATCCTTAGCAATGAAATTACAGACTCTGGCCAAATCAACCTTCTATCTTCTCAACCCCTCCCCCCTCTCTTATACCTTGGACTGATTTTTGTCTATTGTTAAATTCCAAATATGGCTTAACCAATGGTCAAGTCTACTTTCTAATTTTGCCACCTGAAATAGGAACATCTCTCCTACTATTCCACCCAAATCTTGGTTTTACAACTTAAATCTTAGTAGAAAAACAATTTCCTATTTCTCTCTAATTGGTGACTGCCAAGTTGTGAAACACAGATACAACCAATGTATGTTTAGTATCATCTTAATATTTTACAACTTAAAATCATTGTTTAAATTGTTAAAAATTGTTTTTATTTTAAAAATCAAAGGGATTATTTTGTTGGATAATTGGATAAAAATCCACCAACAAAAAAGGCACAGACAAAAAATATAAGGAAAAAAAACCTCGGAGAAAAAAGACACCAAATAAGCTACACAAATGTCTTGTTTTTTGATTTTGTTTTCTTGTTGTAATAATCAATGTATAAATAATTGTAGAGATCTAAAATTTGCACAAAATACATATATTAGCCTTTTCACGAGGTTCATTATACATTGTACTTAGTAATAAAAAAAAACAAGTTGCTTTAATGTAACAGAAAAAATAAATCGAGAAATACATAGCAAAAAAATTATACAAATTGGTCGTTTTACACAGAAATAATTTATTTTAATAGGAGAGATTATTTAAAATGAGTTATTAACATATCTATGTCTAATAAACTTAAAAATATTAAATACCCAAAATAATATTTACATTAATTCAGTTTAAATTTTCAAACTAATTTCAAAAATAATGTCTCATAACATTACATTTTAGATAATAAATAATTTATAATTCTTAACGTATCTATGTCTAATAATAACTCATTTTAAATAATATCTCCTATTAAAATAAATTATTTCTATAAAAAACAATAGATTTGTAAAATTTTTCTCTGTGTATTCATTCATTTATTTTTTTATATTCAGTCGCAATTTAATTTTTGATTTAACCTGAGAATGACTGTTTAATTCGAAACTGGTCGTACAATTCACATATCATAATATATCATAATACTCCAGGCAATGCATTCATTTATTTATGTATTTATATCTTATTTATTTTTACTTTTTGCTGAAACAATTTTTTAATACCATGTACATAATAGATTTATAACTATTTATTTTAGAATTTATTATTATTATTATTATTATATGATTAATATAGTAAAATGAAAAATTCCCCTAACACAATGTGACCATAATAAAATGGGTAATTTTATCGCTACTTATTATTTATTGTTGTGTATTCATGTGAACAATAATTTGTAACATAGATGTTTAAATCAAAATAAAATAATTGTTTATATCTATAACATATTATATTATACTATACTTTTATAATCCATAATTCAATATTATTAAATTATACATAGGTTGACAGTAAAATAATATTAAACAATTTCTATAGGATTCTTTTATGCTATTCAGTCACTGACAAAATCTAATAATACATTTCGTTAATTTTTTAAGTTTATTATGAAAACCCCTAGGAAATTAAAATATGGCCTCCCATAAGTACTACCCCAGTCAGATTTCCTTTCAGAAAAAGTGCTATACACTTGAAAATCGGAGCGGAATATCTGGTAGAAAAATTGTTCACAGGTAAAGAATAAAAAAAAAAAACATAGTTCAACCAAAACATTCCTTGCTCCTCTCAAAATCTAAGAGCTGATACTGGAAACATGTGTGCCTCGGTTATAGGTGAGAAGTTGGGAAGATAGAGTACATGGAGTTTTTTGATTAATATCAGTATGCAATAACAAATTATTGTCAACGAAAAACGGTGCAAAGTTCAGTAATATATATTTTGAAATGCAATTATATTTAAAATTTAACTTATTAAAAAAACATTAAAACAAACTATATTTTTTTTATTTTATCAATAAGTACAACTTATAATGAACATCATGAAAACCCTAATATGTATATTTTGTGCAAATTTCAGATCTTTACAATTATTTTTACATTAACCACTACAACAAGAAAACAAAATCAAATGACGAGACATATGTATAACTTATTTTATGTTTTTTTTATAGTTTTAATCATTGATTCATTTTGTCATACTCATATCATTAAAAATTTAATTTGTACAATAATGAATCATTTTTTAAATTTACAAATATTAACATTCAACAGTAAATCAAAATGTTTAATGTAAGATTAACTTACGTCTTTTTTTAATGAAAACTATTAATATACTTACAGAGAAAAAATATAAAATCAGTGTACAGGTCATTTTTATTTTCATATTTCTAGATACATTTTTTTGAACTGAAACAAAAAGTGCAATTACAGCAATATTATAAATATTAAAGTAGACAATAAAAACATACAATTATATTCCATTTGTTTGATAAGCATGTTGATTTTTCTTTGTAACTTTGCATGTTTAGCAAATTCTTTTACAATAGAAATTTTAGACTGTTCTTTTTCCAATAATAATATTTCAGATTTTATTTTCTGTTCTCCATTATAATAATATAAAAATAAAGATATCAACTAAAACAAATTAATTAAAAATTACAATACAACTATGATACAATTGCTTTTATAAATCCATAATCTCTGAAATGTGCAAAATTCATAGTTTAATTATTAAATAAATGAAAATTTACCTTTGGAGTAAATTTAATTGATAAAAAGTTCAAATAACTAAAAATAATTGACCAAAACAGCAAATCCATATTGAACACCGATTGTATTAATATCAATAACAATGTACCTAAATGAGAACTTTACATTTTCCTTTTAAGAAACATAACAATCATACACTAAATAATGTTTAACAAATAAACATCCGAAACTTGTTAAACGTTAAATTAGAATTATTGAAATATTTACAAATGAAGTTTAATAATCATGAATCACGATTATGTTGATAAAACCATAGATAATAAAAATTCTAGTGACACCCCATAAAGCAACCAGATAACGATAAAGAGCCGATGACAAAACACCATCGTCATAAACCGACAAAAATTTGTTACACATTTGACAAAATATAAACACCGTTAAAAAGCCACCCGACAAATAACTATGCGACATAAAGCCCCATGAGTATCTGATAACAGACAACACTACCAACCATATATTAATATTAATCATAGATTTTCTTTATTATCAATGATGTTGATAGCTCATTTTAAGATCTTATAGCAGTTCCCTTAAAATTAATCACAAAAAAATTAATTCTATCAGATCACATTGACCAACACTTGAACCTAAAATCCCTAAACCATTATCGTATTAATAATTATATTTTATGCTAACATTTTTATGCACAATACATTTTGGTGAATGTAGGTGAACTTGGAAAATGATGAGAAAAACTATAATCAAACTGAAATATAACACCTTTAAGACCTATTTTATACATTTGAAATCAAAATTATTAGATACAGAGAGTCGATAAACAAGAGTTCTCATAATCGGGTCGTATAGGTAGTCGGATAGATAGTCATGACTCGCCTTGAAAATCTTTCGCCTACTCGTTGGCTCGCCTGTCCATATTTCTGTATATTTAATATTCCTTTTAATGTTTTAAAATAGGTAGGTACTTAAAAATATATACTGGCCTATAGTATTTATTGCGTGAACTAAACAGATACCTAGTAGGTACTAGGTGTTAATATGAGAAGTGAGTCTTCACGTAACTAGTTGTGTACTGAAACTGAAATCATTTATGCAAAATTTAATGTTAAACATCTTTGTTAAAAAAAAAATACCTTCATACTTGGTAAAAATATATAAAAATTAATTTTTTAAAAGAATACGAAATAGTCTTTTCGAAGATATATTTTAAACTGTGTACAATTGCAAACAAAGTGCCTGTGCCCTCAGTTGGATGTGGAAGGACCTTTTCTCGTTTAAAACGAGCCTTAGTACAAGATTTAAAAAATAAATGATTGACATGTGTCACATTTAAGCATTTTAGAATTTGAATAATTGGATGTTAAACAACTTAAAAGATATTATTGATAGATTTACATGTATTAAAACTGACTAATGTTTTGATCGAGGTGGATATACCTAGGTACTTTGCCGATTTTAATTTAGTGTAATAAATAATAATTAACATCTATGGCTTATTACTTGATGACTTTTTAATATTATTATTATAAATTATAATCATACGTCTATTTTAGTTACTTATATTAATATACCTATCTATAGGACACTTATATTAGTTTTTTTCGGTTTAACAAAAAATATTCAATTTTTTTACATAGAGTTTACACGTTTTACTAACTTTTTTGATAAGAAATACATTACTCGCACCAGTCACACTATCAAATGTGTAAATAGGTGTCATATCTACACTATAATATAAATTCTATATAAATAAAGTTACACTTTTTGTTAAAATTAATAAAACTATTGATTACACCTATGTACTTTCAGTATTTTTGTGAGTTTGTGCTACTTTAGAAGTTGATGAAGCCATAGACCGGCTTTCTATGTAGCCTCGAAATACCAAATTATGACGGACTAAATAAATAATAGTTTTATCATTTGTCTGACTACCGCCCAGGGCCCCCAGGTTGCTAACTATACTCGTAAATTATTATTTATCGTATGGCCTTTACAAGCGTTACAACTCAATAAAATTATTAACAAATAAACTTTGTAAGAATAGGATAAAATAATAAAATAGTAACATATAGTATAATATAATTAGTCAAAAAGTATGATAACATGGTAACTTCTATATGGTAGGATGATTTTCTATAGGGAAATGTTGAATGATCTCAGCCAGGTTAGAGCTACATCCGAAATGTTGTGGATATCGCCAATAGGTTTATTGAAAGCTCGGATTGGCATATGAGTTTAAAAAAAAATTATAAGTAATTTAACATCGAAATGCATATGCATATTTCAACCAAGTTACGAGGAATAGCTTGATGTAGTGGTTAGAGCAAATTGTTTTCATTTTATTTTTTATGGTCCGACTTTTAAATTACCGATTCCTATAGTCGAGTCACGTGGAGAAGTTAATAATATCGTGTTCGTTATAACCCGTTAACCGTGTTGTTATAGCTGTACATAGTATCCGCCTACCGAATCATAGGATTCAAAGCGTAACAAACACGATTGCGAAAAGGAAAATATTTATATTTTTGCACGCGCTCGTCAATATTTCCGTCGAAATGCCATACAACAGTAAGCGTTCCAGAGCCGCTACGACGGCTAAACGAGACCCGTTGACGATCACGAAGTGCGCGGCTCACATGGGTTTCAGTTTCGCGGAGCGTTCTTACGCCGTAATGCGTTCGACACCGGAGTACGCGAACGAGTTTTACGATGAGCACGGCGAGTACCGGACGAGCTACGGAGACGGGCCGTGCCGTCGTCGCCAGGACGCGATTGGAGGTAAAACGTATTTTGTCGCGGCCCGTGTCCGCGTCCGATTTAATCGTTACCTCGATTGTATCCGGTACCCTGTGGCGGAACGTTTGGCCGTCTGCTGATCACCGTGGCCGGTAAACGGTTCACGCACGTTTTCGTCGTGGAATACCGTCCAGAACGGATGTTGGGCTACGTCATTGCGGGGTCTTTAACTCAATATATTTCTGCCGGACCGGCCGCCGACCAGCGGACTCCGGTAACGGCGGTAACAACTTTCGGTGCAAGTGATTGTCGCGCTGACACCGGCGCCGATCGCACACCGACCGTAGCTTTGAAAGAAAAGAAACGCGTACACATTTTTCGCCTAATATAGCCACCTACCGCGGACCCATTCCCGATAACACGCAACCCGATATCATCACCGGAAACCCGCCAATTAAAATTTTAAAACGCGAACCCTGCAAACCCACCGGAATCACAACCTCCCGCGGACCCTCATCTTCCGTTACCGTCGACAGTAACATAAATCCCAACAATGGGTGGACACCCGTTTTGAGCCCCAACCTTTCCCTTATCGACACGTCCTGTAGTGTATTCAGTGACTACCCATTGCGCCCGTTACGTCCGGTCGCGGCCGATTCGCCGGAAACACGGGTGCCCCGATTTTGCCCGTTCGCGTTCGTCGGAATCGACTACACCGGGCCCATCAAGATGCGAAAGTTACAAAAGCCGCGGGGACATACAAAACTGTCGCCGCGTTTGTGTGCCAGGGCGTCAAGACGGTCCATTTGAAGCTAGTGGCCGATTTGTCAACGGCGGCGTTCTTTGTGGTTTTCCATCGGTTCGACGCCCGTCGCGGCCTCCCAACCGACACATACTCGGACTGTGGGACTAAATTATACGAATTGCACAAAACAAACATACACAATCAACATGAACATACATAATCAATGATATTAGCCAGCTAATTGAAAACGTTCGCGAGAGTTGGCCGCTTATCGTATAATTCTCTAGAAGGAGTAATATAGGCAATTTTATTTACGGATCCAAAAAAAGTTTCCTCCGATGGACGTCTCGTGATTCTTTTGTTGGCTATGCATAAAATATATAAACTAGTGTGTTACTACCACGATTTAAGTTAGTATGGTCGCGGAACTCGCTCATTATCGACTTGTGATACAATAAAGACCATAAAGTGAGTCTCACTTTATTTATTAATGCGGCGCTCCATGTAGTGTCATGTCCAATTATAGTGTCATAAGTCAAAACTGTGTAGTTATAGTTTTATAAGTCTACGCTAAAACTAGTTTGCATTGTCTTTGTTTTCTCCATTAAAAACGCTTCGAACTTAACGCAATTGATTGCTAAATTCATATTGATAGTCGTCGGATAAAGCCATTTTACCGTTGTCGATAGGTGACTAAATTATCTTAAATCGTGGTTACTATTAGGTCATGGTTATAGATAAATCGTTTATCACGATTGTGATAATCGTGGTTACACGAAACGCATTACTCATTTGTTGTTATCACGATGTAAATAAAATCGGTGAATGACACTTATTCAAAAAATGATAAGACCGTTTTTGGAAACCCGGCACCGAGGTGGATTAATAATCAACCTATAGCCCGGCACGGTCACATATTAAAATACTAAATACATGTGGTGGTTATAATTCGAAATAAAATTACGTCAAGGATTTTCAAACATTTTAAGATTTGAATTTTAATAATTACTAATTTGAGAAGAAAAATTATAAATAATAACAGGACAACATAATTTCCCATCAGGGGATCCAATTATTTCGATCGAATAGTATGACTTACCCATATCAAAATTATCAAAATCTAAAACACCAATTTTAAAAACGATCAAAAAGGTTAGGTCAAGTAAGGAACTTACCTATAGCTATTTATTACGAGATCTCAAGGGCAGCGTGTGTCAACGGCTCTTGAAGAAGCTTAAGACATCTATAGTGTTGTAATCAAAACTTGTGTTGTTATTTCTGTTACTGTGACAGGGTATACCTTGTCATAAATCTCGATATTTTTTTTTACTTTTTTTTATTTTCGAATTAACGATGGCGGCGAATCAGAATTAATATCACAGGAGTTCCCAATCCATCGTCGATAAAAAAAAGAAAAATAGGTAAGGAACTTGGTTACTTTGACATAGATAGCTTATTATAATACTATATAAATTATAAAAGAAGATAATTCGAAACCAGCCCACAAAAAAAAGATAACAGAAAAATTATATTAAAACAAAGATTCCAGACCATGTGTTATGCGCATTTTTAGTGTAATAATTCACTATAATACTATTCAAAAAATAAAAGTTAAATTTATTTTAACGGTCTACGGCCGAAAATGATTAATTTTTGTACCAGAAAAAAATTCTGCAACTTTGTAATTCCAATGTAGAGCTTTTCGTGATTATCTTTTCTTTTTTTTATATTTGAGTGTAATTATTTGAGAGATAAATATTTGTTTTAGAGTGTCACAAGATTATATTGTGTGTTAATTCAAATATTTAATTGTAAACAACCTATAAGGGCGGTGAAAAATAGGTTTAAAAGGATACACTTACAGAAATGTTCGATAAAAATTACAAATAATTATCCTGGATTACAAAAGTAGTATCTTGAATAATTAAAACTGATGCTTCAACAGAAAACAACTGTTAGCCAATCAACCTTTCAGCCAATCTAAATCAATTAAGATAAATAAAGATTTTTATTTGTGTTCTTTTTTCATTAATATTTATTGGATACCTACTTAAGAAAACTAGGAATGTATAAATCCGGAATCCAGATTTATTTTTTCCAGAATCGCAATTCGAAGAGTACAAATCTGGAAAGGAAAATGGTTGAATTATACTTATCAACTGTCTAAGACTATCGATCACAATAATTTCTTTGAAATTCAAAATTGATACTTTCCAGACTTGTACATTCCAAATAGACATGTATATACCAGTTTTTTACGCATTCCAGTCTATTTTACCGGTCAAGTAGCGAATTTAATGTCAATTAAGCAGCTAGTTTTATAAAACATAACTCGACACATTTTCAAAATTGTCCAGGTTTTATTAGTATCTCCAAGTATTTACATAAACTAAATAACGGTTTCCTTCTGGTATAATTTTTGTAACCAATTTTGATATGTTTATAACGAATTGCACAGTGGAATATTATTTGGATTCTTATACAAATCGTGATTAAAATATTATAATATTATAATAGCGTTCAATTTGTATTTTTTCTTTGCGAACGAGTTTACAGCGACTAACGGACAAAGACGAGATAGTGGTATAATAAAAAAATAAAAATGAAAACAAAACCCCAGAAAATGCGGTTCGGTCTAAGACAATTTTATCGTCGTTGCTTTATACATGGGTTTAATTTTAGATAATAATAATAATATTGTTAAAAGATAGTGACATTATAAACGAACGTTTAAATTTAAAAATAATATTATTATCTAATTCATCGCGATTTTATTACACGAATAGCTTATCTATATAATAATTAATATTAGACCACATTCGCTATCGTTCGCGGCCGCCACGCTGTTACCGCACACTTCCGTCGAACCTCCCGAAAAGTCCCAATACAATCGAAATTATCATTATATTTTGATTAGGTGGGCATACGATTATTTTGTATCTAGGCTCGATTTCGCGGAGTTTCTCATTGTTCTCAATCGGGTCTGTCCCGTAGACCGCACATCAATTTTTCCTAAACCCATTCATATTGAATTTTTACTCATTATCATAACTTCAAACGTACTTTCGACGGCTGACATAGAGCTACTCGCATGGATAAGCTATTTTTCAGACGGGGGACAAAATAAAACTAGATTCCCCCCAAACCTATTTATAGCATAATATAAATACTAGGTTGGTGTGAAAAGGAAGGAGGAAGAAAGGGTGTGTAATTGTATAAACATTAGGTTTAAAAAAGACGGACATATTTAGCCACTGTTATTGGTGAGAAGTTGGGAATGCGTCCTACACAGAGGGGAAATTAATTTGTATCTGTAAGCAACGATAAACAATTGCTAACGAAAAAACGATTCTCAACGGAGTTAAGTTGATAAGTGTTGATTTGTCAACAGTATATTACATGTCATATTATGGTAAAATAATTACATATTGTGCATTTTCTTTAATAATAATAATAATAATATTCTTTTTATTGTTACTATTAATAATAATAATATTAATAATCTTTAATGAACTTTAAAAAAATATTAAAAATCATTGATTTAATGGAAATAAAAAGTCGAAACGTCAAAATGTTCAGTAGAATAAAGTCCATAAAATGGTTACATTACAAACCTTTTAAGAATAATAAAACCCGTTGACGAAATATTCCTCGCGTACATTTTCGCATGGGGGAAAGTGGCGGAGGACCACCACGTGAACGCCGCACGAACGGGCCACACAAACGGTGCTCTTCGAATATTTTTCTCGTCGACATCACCATAACCTTTTGAGGGGGTAGGGGTCGACACAGACCACTTTGGGAACCTCTACGCTATAATTTAATAATTAGATACGTTCGTCAAACAATTGATGGTATTTAATTATATAGAGCAGAGGTTATTGGTTAAAAATACACGGGGTTTAAAATATTACTATACGGGCCACGATTCATTTCCAGAACGTGCGAGATAAATGAAAATCCCAAACTCGTCCCACGACGCGGTTTTTACCCGCGACAAATTCTATTACCGTGGGTTTTTTTTTTTTCTCTCTCTTGCCGCGCGCAAAACAAAACTACCTACGACCTACGGTCCGAGTAATTAATTGAAATCTATTGTTATACGTTTATGACTACCGCGGACACGGGGGTCTGGAATCGTAATTTAGCTTGCCTAAAAGTCAATTTTAAAATTATGTCAAATAAGATTTATGCTACAGAATATTATTGATAATTATAGGTATACTGGAGATAATTTAACGCTTATCGCACGTATTGCCCATCACAAACCTAATCGAATACCCAGATAAGTATAAATATAGCATACAAAACTGCATTAATAACAACTTCGTTGCCGTACGCGTTTAAAAAGGAAAGTGTAGGTATAATCGAGTTTTTTTTTTTTTTTTTTAAATATAATATAGTTTTTGCAGAACGAGGAAAGTTCATTGTTTCAGCTTTTAAAATGTTTTGGTGCAAATTAATTCAATTTTGAATTACTTTTTTTCTATATTTGTTAAGTTTAAAAGCTTATAACTTGTTATTCTACACTTGTCACACTTTTTCACGGTTTACACAAATTATAGTATGACTTTCGAGTTTTTCAGATCCGTCAGAAATGTTCGCGGAAATACCGACAATTTTGGTTTTACAAGATAATGTACTTTTTAAATTTACACAGCGTTATGTATTTCGGTTTTACAATGCTGTTTTCTAATTTCAGTTTTCCGTTTGTAATTTCCGCACTATCCCACGAAATTCCAACACGTTATTAGTCGCCGTATTATATAGTTGTTCATTTTTTCTATATTATTTTGTGGTATTATTATTACTTTTTTCAATTTATTTTTCAACATGCATAATATATTACAATAGGTGTTATTATTTTGTGGGAATTAGTAACTGACAAATATTTAAGTATACAGTGGTATAATATATATTTTATTAATTGGAAATTTTATATCAACTTTACCTACATTTCTCAGTTTTATAAAACGTCTAAACGAAACCTATACAGAATTTGCATTCGGCACCAACATATACATTGATACAGAAATACAAATAATGTAAAACTTCAAAAATTACCCCCTTCTCACAGCCCCCTAACTTCAACGTCCTCAAAACGAATAGGTTTGGTGTATCACACTATGATATATATCATTTAGAATTTAAGAGCAACTGATCTAGGCACGCTAAATTACGATGCAGACCACTGTGCGGTATAGAAATCGTCCTGTAATATTTTTAGATTTTAATAATATTATTATTATCTTTGTAATAGATTATTATAGTTCGAAATAGTTTTCAAATATCAGCTGCCCGAATGTGCATTGTGTTCCAAAACGATTATATCAATGAAAATATTATTATCATTATTGCAATATCGTACGTTTAAGCAATAAATAATTATTATTATTCGGGCTATCACTTGGGTTTTCGCGCGCGATAATAATAATTACTCCGAACCCCGAAGTAAACAATTCTCTCGGTGTTATTATTTTTGTTTTACGCGCGTTTTTGCAATCCGGTGAAGCTAATTCCTGATATTATTATCGACCGGCGACTGGGAAGTCCCGCGAGAAACATGGTCCCATTCCCCCCTCCACACCGTTTTAAAAGAGAACTTGTAGAGAACAACATGCAGTTTATTACTCCTCTCTACTCCTCCAGTTTAAACTTTTAACGGTACTAACTATATAATATTACAAAATCTCAATGCTATTGCTACATTGCTGTTACTATTTATAATTATAATTTTCTTGACCCTAGGTATTATGAAATAAAAATAAATATTTGTTCCTTTGTGGATAGCTTTGGCCAAGCAAAAATGTTTGAAAACTATTTCACTCAAAGTTCGTTAAAAGCTATATTTAATAAGGAAAACAAAGTCGAGTGTACAAATCGTTTTTCTAATTTACAAACGCAAAAGTTAAATGTTCAAATTTTAATGATATTGTAAATAGAATTTTCATCATTGGCATTTTTGCCAAACTCAGAATCATATTTCGTTAGTAATGATTTGTCTTCGCGTACAGATGTAAATTAAATAACTTAATATGTACTCTCAATTTTCCACCTGTAACAATAGCCAGCAGCGGTATCAATTTTTTTCGATTCTCAGTGTAGCGATGAATGAATAGGTTTTTAAAGATGTTTATTTATTTTCTTTTTTATGTGGACACTTTTTCTACCAGAAAGCTTACTCCAATGTATACGAAGACCTTTTTTTGAAAGGAAATTTTCTTGGGGCGGTACTTTAAGGTTATTTTTCAATTTTCTCATGAGTTTTCCTAGCAAATGTGAAAAAACGGATTAATATTAAATGTTATAAATGTTATAAAATATTATTAAGAAAATATATAGTGTCTTACTTAATAATTTTACCATAATATTACATATTTATTGTTGACAAAGCATTACTATCAACTGAACTCCGCTCAGAATTGATTTTTCGTTAGCAATAGTTAATCGCTGTTTACGAATATAAATTAAATTCCTGTTTGTATCCTACACCTACATGCGAAATATGTCATTTTTATTTTTCTATTACTAATAATACCAACTTTGTATTAAATTATTGAAATTTGTTTTATCTCAAATTTGGCTGTTTTGTACTAATGCAAGCTAGAAATCAGAAATTTGTATTAACCAGTAACTCTTATTATTATTAGTCATTAGGAAATTTTAAAATAAAAAATATGTAAGCACATTTGATATTAATTTAAATAGGTATAGCAACAATCAATAGCAGTAATATAATAGAAATAACACCACAATATTAATATTACATTATTTATGTTTTAAAATATAAAATGGGAAGTTATTTTTAAGAAGTGACGATGCTCCGAAAACCAACCATTTTAAAAGTCAATTTGTAAATACTAGGTGGACAAAAGCAAATTTTTACCATCAGGATTGGATTCCATTTTGAGGAGGCAACAGATCACTTGTGAAGTTATTTGAATATTTGTTAGTTGATTAATTTTAATTTTTGTCAACAATTTTATTAATATTTCCTAAAATAGCTAGTACTTAAATTTATATAAAACATATCTAGAAGCATCTACTAATATTCATTGCAGACAAATTGTTTTACAAAAATGTTATCTGTCTGTGTACATGTAACAGGTGTGCAAACAGTTAGACAAAACAAATTTATTATTTCATTCCTTCTTGTTCTATATTTTATATTTAATTAAAAATAAAATCAATTTTCATTCAACAAAAAATATAACATAAAAATAATAATAATTTATAAAATCAAAATATAATAATAAAACATAACACTTTTATAATTACAATATTAAAAATCCATTGGTAAATTATAAATAGTTTAACAGAATTTATTTATAATAGAACCAACTAAATAAAATAAAAATGTTCAAAAATTACAAAAAATACGCAATAAGAAATCACAGTTCCTATTGAATAATTAAAATCTAGTTTTTTTTGGCAATTCAGAAAAAAAAAATATAAACATGAAAATTAACTTCAAACTATTTTATATTGAATTAAAAATAGCTTAAGTAATATACCTAAAGAAAACAAATTCAAAAAAACTACATTGTTATCAAGTACTTATAATTATAAATTGTTTCCAACCATTATGTTATATTTTTTAATAATTTATTCAACAAAATACTTTCCTAAAGTTCAGTAATTAAAGAAATATTTGAATAATAAATAAAACATGCAAAGTACTATTATTTAAAAAAAAAAAAATATTACAACCAAATAAATAAACCAATAATAATTATTTGATTGAACTGAATCACTCTCGAGTGTATACAATCAGTACTTATTATATATTTTTTTATAAAATAATAAAAAAGTTACTTAAGTAAAGTATAATACCTATAATTGACTCTAAAAATAAAAACAGTTATTTAAACCGCAATATTATAAAAATCTTTTTGAAATGTTATTTAGATATCTTAAAAAACGGAACAAAAATAAAATAGATCATAAAACAAATTATGCATACAATTGAAATGCTATTATAATTATTAAAATTTTTTAGGATTTTGATAAATAGTGTACTTTAACAAATCACATAAAAATAATAATTTGTCGGTTTGATGCTTCATGAACATTTTATTACCAGTAATTAGATAGATGCATTCAAAGAAATTGTTAATGGAAGCTCCAAGTAGGGTGTTGGCGACCGAATATCTAGCAGCATCAAATTTTTCTATTAATTGACCAAAACTTTTTTCCATAATAAGCACTATGTTTAATTGTAGTTGGTCATCAACAACACAATTCTTATTTGGTAAAGGATAATGAAGTACATCTTTCATGTAAGTCATAGTTTCATTCAGTTCATTTGGTGTGACTTCCAAATCCAATGCCTAAAAAATAAATAATTACATACAAATACAAAGAAAATTGCATACTTTCACATTAATGGCTTATAATAAATTAATTTACCTTTAATATGTCTTGAAATTTTTGTTTGCGGTTTCTTAATATTTTGGTTGACAAGCAGATTTTTTTTTGTGCGCCTTTTGTTATGGAGTTTCTGTTTACTTTATTTATAAATCCTTCAATATTGTCTTCATCAATAAATTCTATTTCTAGGTAACTAAGACTGTTAAAGAACCACTGATACTTATGAAGTTTTAAGTAATTGAGCCAATTTGAGAATGCCTCAACCATATCTTGTTGAACTATTGTTAATATGAATGGGAATTCAAAAGGGGAACATCCATTAACTACGAGATTAGGATGCGTGATAGAAGAGTATTCTGCTAAAAACAAATTACACAATTATTAAAATTAAAATATAAAAATTTGCTTATGTAAAATTTTTACGATTAAAAGATGAGAAGCGATTGTTAGTAGACTCAAAATGACTGGGCTGCTTCACAGTTTGCAAAACAGATGTGTTGGAGTATTTTGATTGATGTATTTTTGGGGAACTTTTGGTATTGTATTCAAATGGTTCAACTAGAGATGGTTTAAAATTATCGTTCTTAAAATTCTTCTTAATTTTCATCACTGTTCCATTGCATGTACTAATTGTGTTCCCCTGTAGTTGTTTTATCTGTTTTATATGTAATTTTAAACGCCTAAAAGTAGTAGATTTGTTATTAAATACTTTTGTTTTGTTTGAACAAATATAAAAAAAATAATTTACTCACTCATAAATTATAGATAATGGTTTAGATTTTTCTATCAAATAGCATATTTTTATTGATTCTTCAACATTGGTCAGATTTTCAATTGTTTGGCATAGCACATGGTCCAGGACTACCAAATACATTTCTTTTGCTATAGTGTTGTGACCTTTAACCAATATTAACGCTCCATGAAGTTTAACATATACATTTGATGCTAAATTTTGATAAGACCATTGAGTAATTTTGTATGGATCATTAGATTCCAGTTCCCTTCTTTTCATTTCTTTGAACAACAAGAAATATAGATCGGGATGGTTGAACGAAAATAAATCAAGTGAATTGTTCAAATAGCTCCGCCGTTCTTTAAACGATTTATACTTCATCAATTTGTTAGCTAGTAATTGCATTGGATCCACTAAAAATAAAAATATTAAATATTAGGTACAATGCAAGACGCATAATACATATATGTACTAAGAGCTTGAATTGGGGGCGAGTACCTTAACTGAAATCTTTCAGAAATTTTAGCATACTATTTGTTTTTTAAATGGAACACATGGAATGGTAAATATTTTGTATTTGTATCAAAATGCATTTTCATTAAAATTTGAACTTTAAAACACATAGGTACCCACTTAAATTCCACTATTTAATTGTATTGTTTTTAATAGAAAAAATAAATCAAGTAGGTTCTCTGTTTTGAATCCAAATTTCATATTAATTTGTGTGAATGTAATAAATTTGAAAAATAATAAACTTATTAAAGATGTTAAATAACCATTCTCCTTGATTTTTTTTTTTTTTGATTAATCGAGGGGCCTATAAAAAGTATATCGAAATAATATAAACATACTACTCTGGGTTTTTTTTTGTTTTAATACAATATATACATATGAGTAAAAAATGTTTTTTTTTTTCACTACCTATTAAATCGAAAATAAAATTAACGGGTCAGGTTGTAGGTAAGTACCTACATCTTTAATTAAAACGTTTAATGTATCAACAACGCGGACAATTTTGAATTACTTATCTTCCTTAAGCAATATTATGATGGAATAGATATTTATACAATTATAACAGAGAATTAATACATCATTATTAAGTACCTACCTACAAAATCGTATTGTTATTTAAGTAACTGCAGTATTTAAAATATTAAGTAATAATTATGCAGTACAATAAATACCTACTTAAAATTAACTAAATTCGATTTTTTCTTCTTAAAAACACCTGTTGTACAAATGGTCGGATTTCAATAATCCGGGATTAATTTCAATGCCCGTACACGACAAATAATAATAATAACAATAATAATAATAATAATAATAATAATAATAATAAAAACCGTAGTTTGAACCCGCTAAACATTTTCCATTTCGATTAATTAATTAGTTTAAAATTATAATAAAATAATTGGGAAAAAAAAAAAAAATGAAAAAAATGTTGTTTTTGAATTTAAAACGCCCCAACAAAGGGCGACGAGATTTCGGATGTTTGCATTTCCGCCACCACCACCCCCCCCCCCCCCCCCCCCCCCCTCCGAACTTTATTGGCGTTATTCGTCCTCAAGTACTAAACACAATAGTTTGTTACTAATTACTATACTCACTGGTCGAACGGTATTCCGGCGGCGTGCAACGAGATCGCGGTCAGGTATATTAAGTAATACGGCGCAGACGTCCGATCCAACAACTACTCCAGAACGGTCAACGGCGACGGCGCTCGAATGTCGGCGCGCGGCGCCCGGCGGGATTATATAAACGAACTGGACACGAGGACGCGGCCGCGTAACGAGCCCCACTCATTGAAAACCGCAATGATATCCGGTCGACAGCCCGGCGTGTTCGCTATTGTTTTCACACTTTCGGCCGAATTTGGCGCGTATCGGGTTGTCGTTTGTTGTTTTTTTTTTTTTTTTTTCGTACACGGCAATACTTATCGGTGCCGCGTATCCAGATCGGCGGCGGATGGACGGGTGACGGGGGAGGGGGGGGGAATGGATAAGAGGATTGCGGCCGCTCGTATTGGCCGTGTTAAAAAAAAAAATTTAAATTAATAACAATTATTCGACGTTGGAAACTAATAATAAAATGATAGCATCGTTGTGTACCGTTCGCACCACTTCGCCATGTACTGATATACCTCTACTCCATACTCGACCAAATACGAACAATAATTATTGTCGTACGTATCTACTGCGCTACAATGTCGACGGCCTTTTTTATTAAAAGGGCGTCCATCAAATTTCACTGGGTGCTGGGTGGTGGGCAGTATACATAGTGTGAGTAACATTCGTAGAAAATATAACCGTCGCAAATAGCACCTACCGTGAGTAACGCAATGCATAAATATATTGCACCCAAAGAAGACCAATATAATACAGTATTGTCTTGTTTGCCCGAGTGTTCTTCAACTATTCCGGCGCCACTGCTCCCGACTTTTCCGTTTTTTTTTTTTCGATACCGAGACCATATTTTTTGATTTTCGGCGGTGTACGCTCTTTTAACAAAACACCATCGATATTATACCTACCTCTGTATTTTGCGAAATGACCTCGAGTCTCGACAGAATGTTTATTGATTTTAATATAAACGCATAGATATATTTTAAATTGCATTATTTTTGTATCTAATTTTCAATTTTCATTTACTATACTTAGCCCCCTCCCATGCCCGTTGTAAAATCCTGGGTACCTACGCCACTGATTTTAACCTATGAAGACAAACATCAAGTGTTTTATGTGACCAGAACCCTGTTTTTAGAACAAGGATTGTGGAGCCCGAATTGTTGGGATGAAGGCGAAGGAAAAGAAGATTATATCGAAATAGCGGGACACAGTAGTATTCACACCATAAATGTGCCACTGTTTTGTATAAGAGAGAAGTCGGGAAGATAGGATATAATATTATAGGATAATATTTAGAACCCTTTTATCCGCTTAAAACTAAACAATTTCAAACATTTAAAAATAACTCGAAAACCGTCAGAATGTTTTGAAAATATAGTAAAACGTCTAAAATATAGTAAGTACTATAAAACAAATAACATATATACCTATGGAAAATAGTAAAATATATGTAAGTAATCGATAATATAGTTTTAAATTTTAGATCTTTACGATGAATTTTCGTTTAACAACAACAAAATCGAACCAGAATATTCCAGTTTTCTAATGGTTTTTCGCCATTATAGTCGGGCCTCCGAAAAGTGAGCGCTTGAGGCCGCGTTTCCAGTAAAAACAACTATAGTCAACAACTTCAAACACATGTCCTCGGCCCAAGTACGTATTCAGGATCAATATTCAAGGGGGTGGGGATAAAATATTTGTATTATGCATAAAGTTTGTATTTAGTCTTTGTTGTATTATGAATAAATACCCACTTTAAAAATAGGGAGGTTGAACCCCTAAACCCACCCTGTATACGGGCTTGCCTCGGCCACTCCGGAAGAAAAATATCATGGGCATAAATTATCAGGCAACCGACACGATGGTAGAAAATGATACTACACCACTGAGAACCCTAATATTTGAACTGCGCCACAGTAATAAAACAACTAGGAATATCAAAATATGACCTTAAGGAATACAACAACGTCGAACTAGAGAAAATTGGTTAGTTTGTAAACAATTTTTTATTTGAGCAAAATTTCTGGTCCGAAAAGTTTTAAAAATTATCAGAATATTCTACGATTTATTCATGATCATTATTACGTATTCCGGTTGGACATTTCTAGGTACGCCACTGAGTAGTGAGTACTGACCAAATAATGAAATAATTTATCGTATTCTATTTTTGCCGAACAAAGTAGGTACTATAATAGTGTTTAAAAATAATAACTTAAGTAAGATAATAGTATACTATACTATTAGCCATAAGGGTCAATTATTATCAAGATATTATACATTTTACGATTTATATGAGTACCATACTACACATTATTATACCTGTTATAACAATGGCAATATCAACAAATAAATTACCAATTTCGTTGATCATAATATTATTATAACATTATTATCGATGATATAGGTATACACCATAATATACAGGTTTAAGGTTTTAATAACAATGATGTATTATTAAATATCAGATGATGGTGTGCTATAAAATTGTAACAATATTATTGGTCGAATCAATCATTAAATAATCCTATAGTAACAATACATGTAAAGTACATCAGTACATGGAGATACGTTATTTTTCAATATACGTGGAAATAGGATCGTTAATTTTTAAACTGTGTGATGTATGACAATTTTTTTCATGTCTAATTTTATGCCATAGGTAGTTTAATAAAAGAATGTGAGAACAGTAGAATGTGTATATTACTAGGTACTTAAGACTTTTAACAAATAAACGTCTACATTTTATTCATATCTTTTTTCCAATCTTTATAACTCTTTTGACTTGGAGAATTCAGCTAACACACAAAATGTATTAGATATGCAAATTGTTAGTAAATAGGTATCTACCTACGTATTTAAAATATTTATAAATTACAATGTATAATAAAATATTACCTATGTTCTAATAACATTTCATTTTCCGCACAGTAATTAAATCTTAAATATAAATAATGTCAAAAGGATTAGACAATTTAACAAAACTGTAACAAGTTCAAATATTTATATAATTATTTATTGTCTTAAATTATACTATACCTAGTAGGTATATTAGTGATGAAAGATAACTTATCTAATAAGATCCAAAGATCTAATAATGACCCATGACCCATTAAAATGTATTTTGTCATAGACCTTAAACGATATCCTATTAAAGTCTATATATTATATAGGTATTGATATTTGAAATTTAGGATTATTCTACATTAAGTTTAAAGCGTTGTTAGATGAAGAACAACTGAACAAATCAAATATAAGAAAATCTCCCCCAATGTGGGACGGTTGGCAATTTCGGAAAGATTTTTAACAAACCGGGTTATTTCTTGACAAATGGGAATGAACCATCGTAGGTAGCAGTGGAAGATCCTAAACGCCAAAGTCAAGGTAAACCGAGGTGAGAAAAAAAATCGTATTCCGCCAAAATCCTAAGTGCTCCGGTTTAATTATTTTAAATTTTGCAAACGATGTTTTCTCCCAAAAATCTTTTTCTAATTGAAAAAATGATAAGTGAAGGATTTTGGTCCTTTTAATATATAACCGCTATCGTAGGAAGTCGATTTTTGATATCTACAGTATTTTTCATAATAATTGGGAAAAATAAAAATAGACGAAAAATAGGTATGTTTTTTTTCAAATTACGGCACAACAATTTCATTATTTAAAATTTTTACGGTTCATGTTGTCTACCATAAATATTGATCCAATAGAAAAGACCTTTCTGTTGTAATTTAAATCGAGTTCGTGAGTAAGAAAGTCGTTTTTTTGATTTTCTTTTATGTTTTTTAAAAATAATTGAACAAAATCGAAAAATACGTAGAAAAACCGGAGAAATTTTACCTAAATAGTTCTTTCATTACTTTAAATTTTGTTTTTGTAATGTGATTTAGTTTAAAATATTAGTAAAGATTTGATATTTAGACAAAAAAATTATATATGCCATTTCTAAATGTGGTAAAATTTTCAAAATATTATAGCCATTTTTGTGCAATTTATAGACATTTCAATTTTGCGAGTTTTTACTTTTTAAATACCTACCTATAAAACGTCTTAAAAAACGTCGTTAAATTTGGCACAAGTTTTATATTGTTGTGATATTTCAATGTAGATATTTATATTTTATATTTTTTTTGTTTATTACCTAACCATAAAATTAAAAAATAGACCAAAACGATAACTTTTAAACTATAACAATGAATGATATAGAGAATTATTATAATGAATATAGGGAATTATAAAACTATGAAAAAAAAAATAATAATAAAATAATGGCGAACAGATTACGATGACCAAAATAATATTATTATTATTATTATCGGACCCGCGCGATAACGCAGACAAAAAAAAAAAAAAGAAAGCAAACGAATTTTATTGCCTTTTTATTTTTTTCAATATCGAGTGAGGAACGCGGTAAACACCGAACACACTGGCACTTCGATCTTATCGCACCCAGAATAGGGAAGTTACATCTATTTTTAATGTTCAACACTTTTTATGTAGATACGTTTTGTTATATCAACTGGTATAAAGAAAAGGTCGTGGCAAAATACACAAAAAATAAAAACAATTATATTTTAGGAACCGTTAAATAATAAAAGAAGTATAAGATGAAATTTGTTAGGAACCCAAATATTTGTAAATCTTAATATTATTACCAATACTATAATTTATTTTATTTTATTTTAATGTTCTAAATATTGTTAGGTTAGAACTCCTAAGAGAACTGTATAATTCTGAAACTTTAGTGTTATGATATTTTACTGTTCTGAGTTGTTTGGATTCCAGAATTGTACTATTCTGTTATTTTAGAATTTTAAAATTTTAATATTCAAATATATTATTTTCATTCCGATTATTTTTCTAAAATGTATTCTTCTGTATTTTTATTTTCAATAATTTTGCAACTAAAATTAGGTTCCTCAGGTTTATTTTCAAAAAGATTATTTTCTAAACAAATTATTCTCTAACGCATTATAACCATCTAGCGTTCACAAAAAATATTGGTACCATATATTGTTGTAGATTATCTAGGTAAGATAGGTAAGTAGGTACATGTATCGATAGATACAGGAGTTTGTGTGAACTTTTTACAGTGACTATAATTGAATTATTTTATTAATTACCAACTGTTAGGACATTTAACTTGGTGGATATTCACTGTGTGTCCCTCTCCGAGTAAATAGAGCAAACCTCATTAATTTTTGGACTCTTCGCAATATTATCCCGTTTCCAGTACTTCCTACACACAATTTAACATTTATTTTCTACTGGATACACAGTAAGCAAAATTGTACTCTTCTGGTTATCCAATAGATTTCGCTGTGTGTTCATTTGGATACAAAAAGCCCCTCTTAAAAATATTCAATGAACTGTTATCCGGATTCTATGGAAACGCCGATACGAAAAAAAAATGTACACTTGTTATAACTGCAAAATTTTTTTAAGGAGTAAAATATTGGCAACACATTTTACCTTTTCGATAATAAATAATAAATTATAAATTAAAAGTCTGTCGTGATGCAGAGTGATTTTAGTTGCCTATATACCATGGTACACGTTGTTAGAACGATGACAAGTGACAACCAAGTCTATTGTAGTGATATATTTTATAAAGTATAAATTGAAAAACGCAAGATGGCGCTATAAACCTATAATAATATTATGAACATAAGAGATTACACAATCTACAAATCTACAATGCCAACATCCTTATTTTTCATGTTTCCAATAATAATTTTACTAAATATCCAATGCCGTATTTAGGGTGTTGTCTAAGAGGGAAATATTGAATTTGAAAATTGTGTAGGTATCTAGACTAAATAAAAAGATAATGCATTAATTTATAATATATTCTTGTAAATACTTATTTTAAGATTTACCTTGCCCTAAAATTATCGTTAAAATCAAATATCAGATACTAGTATTTATAGTATTCTAGTATTTATCATAGATTTATCTATGGCAAGTACCTGTTTATTTATATCCGTATAAGCATAGAGTTGTGGCAGAGTTTTATATCATTGAGATATTGACGATTATCTATAATCGTGGATAGAAAAGAGAGCAGATTCGTTAGTCCCAAAAATACTATAAAACATAATATTATACCATGATGTTCACAGAAAATAAAAAATTCTAAGATTATATATCAAAAACATTATAAATCTGCACATAAATAGTATTATTGTAAATACGGATTCTAATATGAACTTGCTATTCACTTAGCTGACGGAAATTGAGTTTCATGATAATACTCTGTTTATAATTCGATGACTACCATTAAAGTATTAACTTTTTTCAATTTATTTTTCTGAAAAATTTATAAAACTAGCAACTCTACGTCATAAACAGTGCTCCACGAACGGAAGACGGAAGAAATTGAACATTTCAATACCAACAATATATTGTATTTAAAACTAAACTAAAACTTCGTCTATTTCCGGCCTTCATAATATAAATCGATATTTGAAAATCAAAAGTAATGGTAGTGGGTTACTCCTAAAAAAGTAATAAAAAACAAAGAAAGTGTAAAATTTTAATTATTGTTTGTGTCTAAAAAAAAAAAGGATTCCGAAAAAAATTAATACCTAGGTAGGATACAGCAGGGAATTTATTATATACCTGTAAGCAATGATGAACTATTGTCAGCGAAAAAACGATTGTGAGCGGAGTTCAGTTGATAGTGATGTTTTGTCAACGATATATATGTCACATTATGTTAAAATAATTAAATTGGTCTTCTATATTTTCTTTAGTAATATTTGTTTAGTATTGTGTCGATTTTCCTGTTTTTTTCCCGGTTTATCACATTTGCTTGGAGAAATCTCGCGTTTATACATTTATTTGATAAGAAACATTTCCACAGGATTAATAGAGCTTAAGAGGGTTCACACTAAACCGTGTCGCGTTTATATGATCGTGTGCGCTCTTGCCGTGCGTTTCCCGTGTTTAACCGTGATGTTTATATAAAATTTGTAATACTATTGATAGCAAAATTCTTATCAATTAATGATGTTTGACTGTATGGCTGTGTTCAAAATTCACTATTTAATTTCAGTCACGGACTAAAAATAATTTAAGTCTCAGGTAATTAATAATTATTATTCACATGTTACATGGAATTAAACGCATATGTCATACTACTATATAGTGTAAGAGTCTTCGTATAATCATAGTTTCGAATTGAAGGAAAAAAGCCCTGTTGTAAATTAATACTTATTTAAAAAAATGATACCAAATGTGCAAATCTGCAAGGAATTGAAAAATATTATTCTTTTTTTTTTTCATTGAACCAATTATTAGCTTCGACAACAGGTTAAATCAACTGCCGCAGCGATGATTTCACTTGTAATTTCCATTTTTTATTAAAATCAGCTTTTATCAGTTATGATTAATTAATTAAAAATATTAAGATATTAAGATAAAGATCTACGGGGTAGTCTATTTACAAAATTAAAACAATTTTCGTAACATAAATAACAATCGGCTAATGATTGATCGTTGTAAAATGCACACCAATATATTTTATATTATTTGCGGGGCCGTTGGCAAAATAACAACACAGTCGAAGCTGAAATATAATACTCAACTCGGTAACGTGTGATAAAATAACTGCATACCGTAATATGATGCGCTTAAATGCGACCGCGTGGTTCGGCCAATCGGAGAAAATTATTATTCACGCGACACGGCGTGGTACCGTGGTGTGAATCATTATCGTAGATATGTAAACGGCGTGCATCCATCACAGATTCATTGATGGGTAACATAATATTATCTACGGAACCCATCTATAGAGCACAAGCTTTAGCAGTTATTATGCTCATGTGATGGGAGGGGGGGGGGTTTAAGAAGGGCTGGATCATATTGAAAAATTGACGTCACCTACTACCCGGTAGATAATATACGAACAAATACTACGTCGCAGCCAAGATGGAGGTTGCACGTTGATTGCAGCAATAAATCTACTGTTTTTATAGATAACACCGAATCGGTTGGCAAACAGTTCAACAGACGTGGACGAAAACACGGTACTAATGAGTAATGCAATGCAATTAGTAAAGTGCCCACCTCGGTTATCTACTGGATAGTTGGATAATAGATAACCGATGTACGTTCCTCTCGGCGGCACCGGGAAAATGAAAATACTTGGATTATATTCCGTGCGTGTATTATCACCGACGTGCAGAAAAAAAAAAAATATGCGTTTTTGAATATTATAATGTCGCGGACCGCCTTTTATTGTATAACTTATACACGCACGGTCCGCGTTACACTCGTAAAGAATTGAACGACGTTCATGCAGGCGACATTTTCCGCAAAACGACCGTATTAATTAACTGTTATCACTCCGGTGCGCGTAATTCCCGGAAACCATAAAATAATATGCCGTTGTATTATAATTATTTTTTTTTTTTTTTTCCCCATGGCTACCTACCATGACGGAGGACGGAACGGGCGTGCGGACGAAAGATTCGAAATACCGACGACCGCGCGTGACGCGTGCGAAAAAAAAGCCGACCGGTTTTTTTTTTTTTATGTCTCTTTCGTTCCCCGGAAGGACTCCACAACCGCCGCCGTCATTTTGTTCTACACACGGTTCGGTGACGAAATAACTGCCCGGGATATAATGCAAACGACATTCCGGCCATTTTACACCGGGAAACCGTTGTGTCCTGCGCGACGGGCCTCGGCCTATCGCGAGCCCGGCCGTGCCGTGTGTACGCGCGGTAACCATGGCGACAAGGACGACGGTCGGCGTACGGCGACCGTCGTCCTTGTAGCCGTCACCACTCGCGTTCCCCGATCGTTTCGGTTTCTCCGCCTGTCGCCGACACTGCTGACCAGGCGTTTGTTGTTTTCTTTTCTTTTCTTTTTTTTTTTTCCCGAACGTCGTCGCCCGGGACATTTTCAAACGGATCCACTGCCGCGGTTTCGTCGTACGAATATTTCTTACCGGTTGAACGGTGCGGTCAACAACTGTAATCGGACCAGTAAGTATACCGTACCCGCGGTTTTCTTTTCGTGCTCTTTTCATATATCGGCACAGCAATCAAATTTTACCGATCGAATTAAAAAAAAAAAAACAAATAATCGAACGCGTCTTTTTGCCCGTGTAAAAGCGGGCAATTTCGCATTCTAATGTAAATCTACCTTTACGTGTCTTTTGATTGTTATTGCGGTTCGTTAAAGTAACGAACACGTTACACCCGCATCTACTATTCCAGTTCAACTTGCCTACTACCGGGTAACATGCGAAAACAATGCTTAACGCAGAATATGCAAAACTAGTTCAATTTTGAATTTAGTGTAAAATTATGAAATTTATAGAGAACATTATTTTTGAAGGAGTGTTAGGGTTTTTGCAGTATTCAAAATATACTGCTCTATGTAATAGCTACAAAAACCTTATTATTTTTTAAATAACTGTTTTAATAATTCAATAAACACCTGTAACATTACCTCAATCTCTACAATATTTGTTCTCTATAAATTTCTATTTAATTTCTATTTTTTTATACTATTCCAGTGCACCAATAATAGTGACGTGTTCTTACCTAGTTTGTTGATAATTAAAATAAATTGCCCATTGGTATGATTTCATAGATTTCTATAATCTGTGCAAATTAATTAACTAAATATTATATTCCTTATTCTAAACTTTCACTTGATCCGTTTTCCTTCCTTGCATACCACGACTACCCTCATATAATTCTTAATCGCACACAACCATCTCTTCTTACGTTTATTTTCATTATAATTCTTACATCTTCAAGGTTTTCCTAAACAATATCATATACCTGCTAGTAGTTAATCATTAATCTAAGGGAACCAGTAAGAGCTTGGGCTCTTAGTATTATATGCACCCTAAGATTATTTTAAACAATAAAATACATACAAATTGTAATTAACGTGTCATATTCAAACTCTAAAGCATATTTGGAAGTTTAATTATCAAATTCTTAGTCTAATGTTTTCCTAAACCCAACTTAACCTTTCATTATTGTTCATACAAAAAATTAATAGATTTTCTATCTGATTGCATTCTACTGTTCAATATATTTTTTGTTGTATACATTATTTATTAAAACTTAAAATTTCTCCACGTTTATTGTAAGATAACATTTCGACTACATTGGTATGAAATGTGAATTAACATATTAGGTAGTGAATATAGGGTATGACACATTATTATGGGTATATTGTTGGCAAGATACTTAAATGCATACTTGTAAAATTTTAATAACTTTGAAAAAAAAAAAATTAATTTTGACATGAAAAAAAGTGATACAATTTCCTCCTAATACATGACTGAGAATAAACAAGCCATAGTTATTTATTCAAAATAATAAAATATTTGTATTACACAGAAAAAATTATTACATTTTTTAGGTTGCGGGATTCGGATACCGATATTTTGTATTACTTATATACAGCATATTAATTTAGACCAATTTTCTTTCAACTATTCCGATTCATAAAGTGAAGCAGTACAAATTCTAAAAATTAATTTGAATTTTGCCTAAAGTTTATATAACATTGCGCATTATTGCTATTTAATGTTAGTATTTTTAAAATACTTTTGGAAATTAAGAATTTGAAAAAGTGGAAAAAATGTATACTAAATCAATTAATGTGATTGAAAGAAAAGCAATATGCTGTGTATGTTTTAGATAAAGATAGAAAATATCAGTATCCAATCCTCTTAATGCAATACATTATGTATATTATATTAACAAATAACTGACAATTACTCTAAATATTATTTTTTTTCTAATAATTGATTAACATTAAAACAAAACTGATGCTAGTTCATTATAAAACTAATAAATAAATTATGTATTTCTAGTGGATGAAATGAAACAATTCGCCAACGTGATGATTCACCATAAATGTTTTAAAGAACGTCAAGGATGTCTCACAGAATCACTTGATCACTTTTCAATTGAATATCCAGAATTATATTCTCTGCTGTATATGGAAATTAAAAAAAGAGGAATGGAATTTAATGATCCAAACAAAATGTTCAAATGGCTGACCACGTCGACATCTAATAATAACTATAAAAAACTTCATGAAGCATTGATCTTTGTGAAAAAAAACAATATCATGGCTCAAGAGCAGTACATTATTGATATAAAGCATTTGCTTTGTCAAGCGATTGAGAAAAAGACTAATATAAATGAAGCAGTTAAAATATGCCGTCTAATAGAGAAGTTGCCAAATTTGACATTTATTAATGGGTGAGTTGAATTATTATTATTTAGTTAGTAATATTATCATATTTTAATTTAATAATATTATAATATCAATTTTAGCCGTTTGAGTAATCTTATTCAAGAAGTAACCCGACTGAATGCATATTATAGACCCAACACCTTAATGGTCACACAAGAAAAATATTTTATGGCAAATAATTTCAAACCGGAACAACAAAATATTCAAACTTCTCAACAGCAACAGACACTAGTTTCGCCATATTCTTTGGTACAACCAACCTGTACACAATTCCTTCATGGTTCATCACATTTCAGTTGTAAGACTAATTAAATTAAGTGGTCAAGTTTTTAATACTTATTAGGTACATTGTTAATACTTTTTTTTTAGTAGATTGTTATGGACCATTGGAAACAAAAGCAAACTACTACAAATATTCTAGTTTCGATTTAAACCAAAGACCTCTAACAGAAAATTTAACAGCCAGTTTTGAATCTCTTAATGTTGATGATTCTCAACTGATTCAACAACAACCCATACCTGTTTTGTCCCCTATGCTTCAGCCTAATAATTTAATACCTCGTTATGGTCTTCCACATTTCAACTGTAAAATTTAGTCATTTTTAAATATTTTTCATGTTATAACTAATTACTAATAATGTTTGATTTTTCAGTGAATCATTTTGGCCTTGGGGATTTTGAAATTAATTCATTCAATAAATGTCCTGCTTTTGATTTAACACAGTTATTACCAAATCAAACAGTTGTGAGTCAAGAAATGGACGGAGCTGTCATGAAGTGGCTTTATTACTTGAGGATCCATAAATACCAATGGTTTTTCAATAGTTTAAGTTACCACGAAATTGAATTTATTGATGAGGACAATATTGAAGGATTCATTACTAAAGTAAATAAAAACTCCATTACAAAAGGTGCACTATCTAAGATCTGTCTATCATGCAAAGAACTGAGAGAGCGACCAAAAAAATTAAATGATTTATTAATGGTAAATTTACTTATTAATTAATATATAAACATATATAGTTATGATTTATGAAACGAGTATACTTATAAATGATATTTAATTTTAGACCTTGGACTCAGAAGTTCCGTTAACAGAGTTATGCGAATCCATCAAATACTTGCGACATATACTGAATTATCCTATTCCTAATAAGAACTGCGTTATTGGTGATAAATTACAACAGGACATAGTATGTGTGATGGGAAAATTGTTTTATCAACTTCAAGCAAATATTTGTGTAACTAATTGCTTGTCGGCCAGTAACCCACTTGGATATTGTATTAACAAATACTTACTATGTACTATGTTAATAAATGAAAATCAAATATTCATGAGAAATCAGATTGAAAAAGTATTATATTTTGCTGAATCGTTAAAGTATAAAGTCCGTATCATGTCTTTATGTAAAAAATAATTATACTAAAATTTTATACATTCGAGAATCTAATTACACATTATGTTATGTTATGTTTTTTTTATTAATTATTGTGTATAATTTATTATACATTTTTTAAAAATATTATTTGATTATTGTGTTAATGTTAATGTTAAAACTTAACTTTTTATATTTGTTTTGCATGGATATTTTATACCATTGTTTGAATCAGTTTATGATTAATTTAATGACATATTTGTTTATTTTTGACTGTCTAATAGGTACATAACCGAAAGATTAAATCATTTTATTATTAATTTAATTTATACTTGGTCTCATTTTAATTAGTTGTTTGTGCACATTGAATATTATTATTGGAAATTTTTTTGTATATGTGAACAAAATATTATATCAAGTTTATTAATAATTATTTTAAGATTCATATAATTTCATACAAATTGAAACTTTTGTAAGGTAAATTGATTAGTATGTTGTTTATTTTAAATTAACTTTTGATTTTTAGTATTTGATTATTGATGTAATTTTTGTCTGTAATTCACGTGTCATATATAACTACTGCATGTAATACAATGTGCTGATGTAATTGCTTTTTTAAAATTATTAATAATGTAATTAGTGTGCATGTATTATATTATATTTTAAACAATAATTTAAATTAATAAATAAAAAATTTGCTGTGAATTATTTGAACACTTTAGGCACTACAATTTACAACAATATTACGAATTTTTGAATGAGTTGTTTACCAAAAAATATAAACAAATATTTTAAATTAAACTAAACATAATTATTTAAAAATATGTTATGGTACTTATATACCTGTGGTCTTTTTATGAATATATATTAAACAGTAATTTATACTTATTAATTTGTTTAATATCAGTTCAACATTTTTTTCAACAAGAATGGTTTTAATTTTAAGTTTTGAATATCATTATTTTTCCATTTTTATTTAAAATAAAATGAATATTTAGAAATAAATTATTTTCTATACACCTTTGTACCTACGTTTTTAAAAAAAAAAAAAAAAAATGAAAACACCGAGAACCTAATAAATTAACGTCGAAGTATATACTTATAATTTTTGTTAATTATTTCTAACAGAGCGTTGAAAGTATGACAATTATTTAATGTAAAAATATTAAGTTACTTAATTGTAACACTAACTAGTGCTAGTATCTAGTAAATACCTACTTATAGGAAATAAATCTGTGTAAGTGATAGAGACTCATCAATTACTGGGTTAATGTAATTTGTTTGTCAAAAATTAATAATATCATAGTTGGTAAGTAGGTATCTATATTTTCTCCATTCAAGAGCTTGATGGAAAACTATATTTGCATTATCATAAATTAAATTATTAATAGAAAGGAAATATTCGAGTTTAGACTATACTAATTATTCACGATCATGTTGCAATCTATCTGTTCGCTAGGAATTTCATAGATTATGCAATCACTGGCGGTGAAATAATGCAATGAATGGGGGGAGGAGGATAAGGAAAATTGTTAATAACTAGTATTGTTTACATAATTTTTGTTTTTAGAAATTATAACTACATATATAATATATACAAAGTGTTTTTTTTAAATATGTTACCCAATTTTTATGGTTAAATTATGCACAAGTTCAAATTCTGATTTTTGGAATTGTTAAGTGCAGTGAACTTAGATTTAACATTTTAAAGACGATTTTCAGAAAAATCATCCGATTGACAATTGACATTAAACCAAGTGGGTTCTCATTTGAAAAACTGAAGTTGGTATTGTCACAGGATACTGTTATTGTTGTGAAAAATCTAAGTATTCGATAATATCGATTTTCACTACAGTTAAAACATTCCAAACACCAGAATATTTGAATTTATTCATAGTTTAACCATAAAAATGGAGCGAGCAATGAGCATGCTTGAACAAATAGCCCAATTTATTATAAATATTCAAGACAAATGTGGTAATGAGGGCGGGGGGAATAATGCGATATACATCTCCCTCGTCCAGTCATCCTCTCTGTGTGACCGCTCTTACGTGCAATACCAATGTCAAATTTGAAATACCTATTTGAACATATTCAAATTTCTAATGACAACCGTGAGCCCAAGGGGTTTCAAATGTGTTGAACACAACGACAACGTATACAAATATACAATAATAATTGATCACGGTGGCGATGCGTAAATAACTTTACCGTGTGTACCGGCTTATCAACAAAATGACAATCGCCACAACGATGGCATTTTAAAACCGGTTTATTAGAGCCATTTTATCACCACGCGGTCAGAGGAAATTATTTATTACCTTATTGTATTGAATTTCTTTTGATGTTTTGTTGCGCGCGATTATCGGGAATTCCCGAAAACGACGACGAAAGTAGAGAACTTTATTATAGATTTCGATACCGACCGACGGTCACAGTGTCACGAACTCCCGGGCCTCGTCACTTTGCTGTTGCGTGCCGGACGTATTGCTCCGTTTGAATTTCGTGCCCTGCCGGCATATTCGGTAATTCGGGCAGGCAGGTATAGTGCCTCAAAGGTTCCGCTGTCCATTTCGGTATCTCCGTCCTTGATCACTGCGATTCGCCCGCCGAATATCATTTAATAAGTGAGTATTAATATTTGTTCGATTTAATATTTAATTACGCGTACCCGGGGAATCACGTTGGCACAAGATAGGTTTAACGGTTAATTAATAAACAATTAATTATGTTTTATGACATTACGGACGATAAATGTTGGTCTTTTTAAGTTAGACGGATAGTTTTCGAAACCCAACCAATTGCAGGGTAACAGTGGTTACGGTATTCGCATTTCAATTGTACCTACCTGTACGTAATTATCTGTAAACAATAATGTCAACGGTTACCCGTTGTTAAAATTATTTTCTATAACCCGGTACCCGGTACCTAACCCGATACCCGGTATGCAGGTCTGCGTTAAAACTTCCCAAACGGTTTTCTTATTAATTCGATACGTTTTTATTACGCGCCCGCACGAAAAAGTCGCGTTACAAAGTAAATAATAATTATACCAACGAACTGTGACGGTTCGAAAAAATTATTATTTTCTTGTACGGATGTCGTTTTTGGGTTTTTACGCGGGTATTATTTCGAGAGGAAAACACACGGCGGGTACACCTGATATCCGAAAATGCTCGTGCCGCAACGTGGGTAATCGGCAAGTAATCGATATTGTTCAATCGCGGAATACGAATTTCCCCCCCCCCCTCGTTGTCGTCTAATGAACCGTAAAGATATCTCGCAATTATGTAAACTCCGGACAAAAATATGAAAAATCACAAAATTTCTCCGTCCGTCATGACCGGTAACGTGTATTATAGATGTACCTTCCAGGCGTAATAATAACGGGATTTAGAATAATTGCTTTAGATAAAAAAAAAAAATTATAATCCTATAAATAGGTATACTCAGAATATACCGAAATTAAACGTATTGCATATCCGGAGGTACCCTTCTGCCACGAGTGTGGCTTGGAAAGTAAAATCACTCGCTACCAATGGAAATTTTTGTTACAACATTTTTAACATTTAATTCGCTATTTACGTGCATAGTAATGTACATTTAGTGGTTATATCAAATTCAATAATCGCAATGTAATACAATTTTAAAAATGGCCAAATTGTTGGAGACGAACAGAAGTGTATGACAATATTCATTGATTTTTTTTCGTTTTTTCGATGCATTCATTGTAGGTAGTTTACATTTAGAATGCATTTAAAAACTAGAACTCGTACCTTACGAAAATAGTTTTTGATTGCGAATTCGCTTGTAAACTTTTGTCTTTTTTTTTTTATTGATTGAATGATTACTTTATTAAGGTTATTTGGTTTTTACACAATAGTGTATATTATATTACATTTCTTTTATTTTATGAACATTTTTAAAATAATATTTTGTATACGGCATCAGTAAATTGCAAAACAGATTTATTTCTTTTTAAGAATGTCACCAAAGAAAATTATTTGCAAATGTAAAAGCTGGTCCTGGCCATGAGCATATAATTTTTCCGACTCGTCGAGTATACAACAAATCGTTAATAAAATAAATAGGAACCATTAAAAATTAATTAAAAGTAATATTTAAATAGGTTGGAGTAAAATCTTTTAAAATATTGGTATGTAATTATAATTTTTTTTTTGTTTGAAAAATCAGCTCTTTCACAATTAACGTTTTACTAAAATTATATAAGTATGAATTTTTTATGTGTACCTGAATTTGTTTTAAATAATAATATAAATACTTGTAGGTAGATTCTAAGTACCAATTTTACCAATTACAAATGTAAAAACCTGGTCATTATTTTTTTGTTAAACACTCTTTATTTCATAGTACCTATTGATCATTTTTAAATTTTTTTTTAAAAAAACCAAGTAATAAATAGTTCTAAAATATCACACTATTATTTTTTGATCACCATTATTTTTGGGCAAAAAATGACTTCTTATTTTTGATTTTCTAATGACAATCTATGGTTGTCACCTTGAAAATGTTTTAAATAGATTATTAGTTGAAATAAATTTGGTGTTGACATTTTTTTATTTCTTTCAATCCATTGATGAGATAAATTGTATAATTTATATAATGTTTTTATTTCTAGTGGATGAATTGAAACAGTTCGGAAAGGCACTTATGCAATACAAATCTTACAAGGAGCGACAGGAGCATCTTATAAAATCACTTGATCATCTGTCATACTACTTTCCTGAGGTATACTCTCAAATACTTAGAGAGATAAAGAAAAGAGAAATAGAATCTAATGATCCAAATAAAATTACCAAATGGCTGAATATTTCAACATCAAAGACATATTATGTACAACTGCATGAAGCATTGATGTTGGTAAATAATAATAATACAATGGCCAAAGAACAATACACTACTAGCATAAAGCATATGCTGTGTCAAACAATTGAAAAAAATACCAATATTGAATTTGTAATAAAAATATGCGACCTAATAGAGAAATCATCACATTTACAAACCATTTATGAGTGAGTTACTATTTCTATTTTTTATTCAGTTTGCAATATTAGGTTATTATCCGAATTATTACAATTAATACGATTATATTACTTCTAGGAATTTGAAACATCTTATTCATCAGGTAAAACAGTTAAATGGTAATAAATTTAACACCCGTATGGACTCCCAAACAGAAAATATGACTGGCCATTTTGATTCTCTTAACATTGAGGGTTATCAAACTTTTCAACAACAACCCATACCTGTTTGGCCTACTATGATACAACCGAATAATTTAAAACAACATGGGCTTCCGCATTTTAACTGTAAATATATAGTTATCTTCAAGTTATATTTTTACTAATACCTAATAATCCTTAATTTTTCAGTGGAATGTTTTGGTTATGAAAATTTTGAAATGAAAGCAACAGCCAACCAATATCCTAATTTTAGTGTGACACAGACATTACCAAACCTAACAATTGTGAATCAAGAAATGGACGGAGCTGTCATGAAGTGGCTTCATTATTTGAAGCTCCATAAATATCAATGGTTCTTTAATAGTTTGAGTTATCTTGAAATCGAATTCATTGACGAGGACAACATTGAAGGATTCATTACTAAAGTAAACAAAAACTCCATTACAAAAGGTGCACAAAAAAAGATTTGCGTATCAACTAAAGCATTAAGAGACAGACAGTCGAAGTTAAATAACTTATTAATGGTAAATGTACATTATAAATTATGTGATCATAATATTATAATAATTTAAATTGATTAAAATACATAATTATGAATAAAAAAAATTAAACATAAATAAATACTATATAATTTAAAACAAAGCAAAGCTGTGATATTATTATATAGAATTACTTTGACCAGTTTTGGTTTTATTTTAAATCATGTTGTATTTATAAGCTTTATTTTTATTTTTATTACTAGTATAAAACATTCAATTACAATGTTTTATTTTAAAAATGATTGAAGGTTTTGGATTTGGAAGTCACACCAGTTGAATTATGTGAATTGATAACGTACATGCGAGATATATTACATTATCCTATACCTAACAAAAACTGTGTTGTTGGTGACCAGATACAAAAAGACATAGTACTCATCATGGACAAAATTTTAGATCATTTAATGGAAAAACTTAGTGCTACTAGATATCTTGTTTCAAACAGTCTGCTTGGATCTTCCATTAACAAATACATGGAATGCACCTTTTTGATAGCTGGAAATCAAATATTCATGAAAGATCAAGTCGAAAAAATATTATTATTTCGCCAAATAATCGAGTACAAAGTTAATCACATGCCTAGAAACTTCATGTGAGTAATTTCATGAATTAGATAAATATTTTATACATTTAAGAGATGAGTTTTAAAATATTATTATATGTTATGTATAATTTATTAATTTATGTTTATTATTTATGTAAACAAGATGCACAATTTATTATTTTGTTTTTTACAATGATTTATTTCAAAGATATTTTAAGTTTTTTAATTTTTAGATTATTGTTGCGCCCCATATTATTGTTAAAATAATATAAGAATATTTTATTTTACGTTTTATTAATTGACAGCTCTGAAAGATTCATGAGACCTAAACCATTATATTATATATTTTAAAGTTATATTTTAATGAAATACCTATTACTGTTTTAATTTTTTTACTTGTTATTTATATTATGCTTCAAATTTGGTTTAGGTTAATTATTTAACTATATTATGTGTTACATATTTAGACATTTATTAAATATTTTTTTCTGTTTTAAATAGGCACCTATAAATTGTTTAAAGAAAATAATTTCTTTCAAATTTATATTTTATTAATAGATCTTTTTTATACACTAACAAAAAAAAAAATTATTGATTTTATAAATATTATAACCTCTCGAGTATATTTCAATTCTTCAAATTAAATTTTTCTGAAATTTAAAACCCTAATTAAATAGTTTGGTTCTTTTATTTCAAAATTATATTTTAACAAATTTACTGTTTTAACTTCATCATATTATTATTGCTCGAATTTGGTTTGGATTAATTATTTTACTATATTATGTTTTGTGTATTTAGACATTTATTAAATGTTTTTTTTTTTTATATATATATATATATATATAGTTAATTATATTTTAATCTATCCGATTAAATTGTAGTTTTTATAAATTTAAAGAGTCTTATTATTGTATTATTGTTCTGTTGACCATACAAATGTAACAGATTTAAATATTTAATATAATTTTACTCGAGACATAATTTTATGATTGGATAGTGTGTTATATTACTGTATTATATTTTATATTTATTTGTGATATTTTACTGTCTAATTGGCTTACCTTGTTTTGATTTGTTTACATATTTTTTTTCTAGAATTTATTATACACTAAAAGGAATTATGTATTATTAATTTTATTTCTAATTTTTTCTCAGTGTTTAGTGTAATTTTTTGTTTGTAACTAGGAATATTCAATTGTAAATCTTGAATGAAAATTTAATTTTTTTAAATGCAATTTTTATTTTAATATCGGTTCTCTATTTTAAAATTACTAAACATAGTAATTACTTTTGTTACATTAATTTTCCCTACCTGCTGACCTATTTTAATATATTTTATTAGTAAAATACCAATAGCATTTAAATATACAATTATTAATATTTATTTTTACTATGTTGTCAAAAATGAGTTTATTTATTTGTATTTATGGTATTTTGTACCTATTATTGTTTTAAATAATTGAATTTATATCTACTTTCATATTTTACATTAATGTCAATAATGTCAAATAATAGTCAATGGTGCACATATTAATTACATTTTTGTTTTAGTTGTTTTATGTATACCTATTTAATTTATCCATCTAAAAATATATATTAGCAAGATATGTGGTTGGCATAGGTAATAAACATTTTTTGATGGAACATTGTCATCTCTGTTGACAATATTGTCCCACTCGCATGTTGATTTTTAATGTTTGATAAATAAATGAAGAAAAAAAAAATGTAAACTGAAGTTGGCTATATGGATGAATTAAGGGGTAATGTACCGAACATAGGTAGGTATGTTGCCATAATTTATGTCATTAAAGGCTGAAATGAAAAAAATGTACGTGTGCAACAGTGACGTAATATAGAAGATTATTTTCCGTCATTGTAAATTGTAATGAAAAGTTCATAATGTAGCAGCCAAACTTTATAACTATTGCCAAGATTTACTCGAGTATAATATTATAACCTACGATAAAAAATGAATGTGAAACTATGTAATTTTACCTTAATTTGTTTATGCAAATTTTTAAATTTTTCAAAGCAACTGTTATTCTTGAATTTTGTTTTCATCCGTGTTTGTATATACTGCTGTAACGGTGTAAAAGAAAACCTCTGACAATAATTTATTTGATCTGTGTAGTTGGCCAAAAAGAATATGGTGGTTCTCGGTTTCAAATTAGCCATCTAAAATCTAAACATTTGTTTAAATTTAAAATTTAGAATTTTGTGTGTATACTTTTTTATAATGAATGACCTACCCATGCAATATGAATCAAAATGTTACACACAATTAATTAATTTAGATGCAGAAAAATATATAGGTACCTGTTATATTTTCACTGTCATAACTTGCGTATTGCATGTAAATATAAAAATATTTTACTGGTTTCAACAGGTATAATTTTTTATTAAATATTTTTATGTTCTTTTTATAATGTATTATTATTTCATATAGGTACCTACTTATGTATAACTTAGTTATGGATTAATTTTGTATTCGTTCTTCAAATGTATCAACATAGAAGGTTAGGTTAGGTTAGGAAGTTATTTGGTTTTACTATAATAATTAAAGAAGTTATTAGGGTACTACAGCTGATTATGTATAAATCTATTTATCTGTGAAGTGAACCACAAAATTTGTTTTTTTTGTTCGCCGATGAATCTTCATATTTTATTAGTACAGGTTTAACAATACCGTATAATCATATTTTATGAAAAAAAAAAAAAAATGTCCAGTCCGCAAGTAGGTAAAATTTTAGATGAATAACACAATATGTATGAATTTTAAATTATTGCTGAATACGGTAACATGTGGATACAATCATCAAAATGTATTAAGAAACCAATAAGGCCCTATAATTCATAAAAAGAAAATCATTATTGACAAAGTCGTTAGCCACGAAACGTAAACGATTGTATAAAACAAAATTGGTCTCGGTTTGATTTCAGGTTTATTTATTTATTATAATATTATCATGATTTAACAATATTTTGTGAATTTGTACGTTTTACAAACTGCACATTTTTTTTTTTACTTTCGTGAAATAAGATTCGTTGATATCGTTACACGTGTAGAAATAATCCTAGTAAAAAAAATAAATACTTTTTGGGTCGCCCTAGTATTTCAGTACCTATGCGTTTTTTTTCTGTCTGCAGTTAACACCACTTCGAACAGAAAATTATTTTTAAAATTTGAATTGAGAATAGGTATAAGTGGATAATATGTTGACACAAACTTAATATTATATTTTATTATTTTTCATAAAATTTCTTATTTAATTGATAAACAATAACATTGCGCAATGTATTGAAATCCAATTTTTTTTTATTTGATTTAAAATAAGTGCATAACGAAAAATTGTTAAAAAAAGATTAAAGGTGACTTTTTCAAAGATATATTTTAAAGTTTTATATTAAAGAATATAGAAAAAATCAGGCGCGTAGCCGAACATTTTCAAAGGGAAGTGTTATGAAAAAATATTAAATGTTTTTCATTATCACTATTTATTAATTATACATTTATTAGAGGACATGTTCCGACATAGCAAATTAGCGTTCTGCGGGGACAACTTTGTGCTGTATTTTCGACATTTTAATTTTCAATAAGTATTATGAAATTGCGATATTTCACAATTTAATAATAGCGTCAACGTAACCTAGATAATGTTCTCGTATTTATGTTTGATAATGATTATAACTCTATAATAATTTAAAATCATTCTAATATTAAAACAAACAGCAGACAAAATTGTCCCTGTTAAACGCTGTGTCGACTATGTTGTACGTTTGTAAGACTGAGACAATACATACGGAAAGAGGGCGTGCCTTAAGAAAATGCACCGAAATAGATAACAATATATATATTTGTGTGTTTGTCAATGGAAAAATGTAAATCGTTGCCAATTATATCAATAGCTGCGATTAACAAATAACTACAAACCACTGTCATAGTTTGCAGGACTGGATTTAGGGTTATGGGGGTACGGGACTGAAGACCAATAATAATAAAAAAAAAAAAAAGGTCATCAAAATTAACAGACAAGTGTGGTCCCCTTTATCTTGCGGTCCGGGGCTACAGCCCTCTTAAGCCCCCTCTGATCCAAGCCTGATAGTTTGTAGTATTAATAATCTTTCACGTCTTATTTTTTTTCAAATACTAACAATGCAATTTGCATAGTTATACCATAGAATAGATTAGAGCAGAAAGAACACTGTCAGTGTAAATAAAAACGTGGCGGCCGTTTTGCCATTTGTAATTTTTATTAATTTACTATTATCAGTTAAAATATTGATTTTTCGTGACATGAGTATTGAGTTGTTTAACATTTAATTTGAGTTTTAAAATTTAAAATTTAAATCTGATTGCACCAAATTGTGGTACCACATTTGTGTGTATTGTTTACGTTAAATCTGATAACGCAACAAGAATCGTAATAACACACTTGGGTACTTTTTGTGTTTCTAAAGAAACTTCATTGCATTTTAAATTACGGATAAGTAAGTATAGCTAGCTAAAAATACAATTTTAATCCTCTATTTTTGTGCATAAAAAAATAATTTTAAATAATTTTTTTAACCAGACAACTCCATCCATCTACAATAGTGGCTTATTCATGTTTGCAAAGTATGTCCGGATTTTTTCGTAGGTTGTATTTTTTTAATTTTTAATTTTTTATATAGAAAACAATTGTGCAATACATTTTGGCGGACAATCTTATAGTGTTTGAGATTTTGAATTATAGCCAAAAAAAACTACCTTTATATTATGAGGTATGTACATGATTTTTGGTAAAACATGCGTTAAACTAAAAATATTAAAACGAATTATCTATTTATAAAAAAAACCAACCCTAATAATATATCAAGTCAAAATAAACCGATCGTTTACATTTTTGGTAATCTATTCTCCATTTTATTTCCAACAAACGAATGAGTTAATTTATATATTCAAATATAAGTGTATCGTGAATTCGTGTATCAAATAAAATAGACATTATTTTACAATATTTACTGTTTTACATACCTATGTAAATATGTAATTACGTTTATTATTATATAGTATAAGTGTGATTGCTGATGAAACTTATTGTTAAAGTTTAGCGGATAATATGATAACAGATTATTTTAACCATAAATAACAAATTTTAATATTTTATCAATGCTTAACAAGTTTTTTCGGATTTATTTAATCGAATACTTATAGAGCTGTGATTATAGTAGTAAATTTCCCTTATGGTTGCGAGGTTTGAACGACAACATATAAATAGACAGATGTTAGGGAGAATAGGGAGAAGTTTGAGAACATTCGAGAATAAAGTATGAAGGAAAATCTGTGAGCCAGCCATCGATGAAGGTATGAGGAACTGCATAGGCGTGTCTACGGTGGTAGCCTAGGGTGACTGGGCTGTCCCTGCAATTTTCAAAAGGCGCCAGTCAACCAAATTTTATGTCTAGTGGCTTACAACTTTTATTAAAAAAAAAAAAATATTTCTTATGCATTGTTTATAGCAAAATATTACTCTCTATCAGTTTATCATTATTGTTATTCTTTTTTGTTATATTTTGTTATTCACTTAACTAGATGGCTGTGTAATCCAGGCCTGAATAATATTTTTGTAGTTAAATTTAAAGGTACTGAAAATATTGTACATTATTAATTGTAAATAGATAATACAGACTTTTTTAAAATTATATAAATATTTAATTGGGAAGGACTAAATTTCTCCCCCTCCCTACTTAAAAGGGATATTATTGGTTCATTAAGTGGCGCCGTTCATAAACTAGGCTGCCGCTGCGAATGAAGTCTTGTCACGCCTATGAGGAACTGACAAAGGAGATTCAATAGAATACAGAGCCGTATGATACGATATGGTGGATAACTACCACAAGTGGCAAATTGCTTTAATGGACAAAGTATAAATCTAGTTTGGTCACTTAACGAGGGAAGGTGAAAACTAAACAGTTAGGGCGACAAATCAGTGGTTTGGAAATCCCAAGGAAGCCCTAGAGGAAGACTTGAGATATCTGGAAGTTGAAAACTGGAAAACTATTTCAAATTTTAAACAGATGGAAAAGTGTTGAACTAGGGATATACATATACATACAACATATATTATTTCAATATTTTCAACGTATTTAATTGCTTAAAAACAAAGTAATATCTGTAAAAATTATTGTACAAATATTATACTTAAACATCTTAGACGAAAATTATTATTTTATATAGGAATTCGACGCTTCAAAAATGTTTTATACATATTATTATTATACCTATATAATATACGCTTATAATAATGGTGTTTGGAATGCTTTCTGTGTATTACAATAACAATGTTGTTATTATAAAAAATGTATTCCATATTTTTATTCCTCTCGAAACTTCCCCTCGAATTCTAATAACTGTTTGATAAATCCGGGATTCGGATTTATGCACGGCCTGCACTTGGTAACGTGGTGGTACGCGTTACTCATGGTCATACCGCGGTATTTGACCAAGTACGCGATGCAAAATGCGGCCGATCTGCTTACTCCGGCCGCGCAATGGATTATGGTCGTACCTCCGGAAATGTATTCCTGTGTAACGAAACAAAACACGATGGGTTAGCATTTTAATAATATTTGAAAAACGCTATCTGCGTATTGTATAGATTATGACATTATTATTATCACTTAGGGTATAGGTCCTTATATTACATTATTATAGTTTAAATCGCACTTTTTGCATTGCGCCGTTGTCAGTGCTTGAATTGGAAAAATGAAGGAAAGGGGACATTAAAAAAAAAAAAGTAGCGTCCGTAACGATTTTTGAGTTTCGCTGCATTTACCCATACAAATCGACCACGCTTCTTGTGATTAATTACCCTGTATTAAATGCACTTAACTTATGTTCGTTACAGCTTACGGGCAAATTGAATGAAACAAAATAATATTCCTTTAAAAAATGATTAATTCGAATTATATTGGCTTCCCTGAACTCTTATTCCGGATAAATTTCGAGGTTCCTTTCTTCTGCTGATCATCATTATATCGTTAATCTACCACTAATTATACTTATGCAATTAGCCAGTGGTGCACTCGGAAATTTTCAATGGGAGAAGATGTAGTAAATATTAATTGTAACTCATGGAAAATCATAGAATCTTCTTCTGTTATATATCTGAGAATTTAAAAGCTAGAGCAAAAAAAAAAAAAATAAACCGAAATTTTCTTCAATATAAGTCAAGCTTTTTATTACTTTAGACTATACTGTACTATTTTATTCCTAAATAAATACTCTTAATTGTTGTATTTTTAAGCCAACACGGAGGGAAGTTACTCCTAATCTAACCCTCCCTCTACGGTTGCCACTGTAACTAATCAGCACTGTTAAAATAATGACACGAATTGCGAATTTAACGACAGGCTAATTATAGTATTTTGTTCAAAATAATTTTTTTTTACAAGTTTTTATTTTATTAGAAGTACTACTTTTTGGTTGAAAAGTTAGAGGTGGAGGTAGATGCATCTTATTTCGACTTAATATGAGCTCATTCATATCTTTCATGCATATTAAAAATGTCATCTAAGAATCTGTATTGCATTTTGAAAGATTTTTTTAACGATACCCTAAACAACGATGGGTTGTTTGAAAAATACAATTTGCATGCCTCAGTTTTATCTACAGAATGATATCCATATCAATTTATCATAGAATGATATATTGTATGGACTTTCACAATAGACACATAACATTTGTCCTTTCTTTTGAATGTCATCAAAATCGATGGGAAAACGAACGTAATGGAAATTATAAATTAGGGTTCTGTTTTTACCGATTAGGTTACGGAATCTTTTAAAAAATAAAAATAAAAATAAAGTACAGGCCATAGCTATATATACAGATTTGCCAGTCATAATAATATTTTTGTTGTTTACTTTTAAACATAATACGTGTAATTCGTTTGTACTAAACTCATACACTTATTATTATAATACCTGTTTATGTTTTTTTATACATTTAAAATTATACACAATGTTTATTTTTTTTTTTTACCGATGGTCACTGCGCGTGGTCCTATAAATATCGTTACCTACCTACCTACCTCTTGATTTTCGTTTAATTTTTTTTTTTTTCCGTCAAGTTTCTGGCAAAAACCTTTTTGAAATAAACCGTTGACAGCCATTTTTTGTATATCTGACTGACAACAGCTTATTTTCCGGTTTTCGGTGTGTTTACGATTTAATGCTATAGCGCGTTTCCTTTCATGCTCGTGTGACGGGCTAACGGACCAAAGGAATATCGCATACCGGGATGGGCGCCAAACGATTAATTCTATGTGTTCACCGCGGTCTATACTCAATATACGCGAGGCACATACATATCATGTGTACATATTTTCGTTGGCTTTATCTACTTTGATCAAATATTAATGTCTATATTTCAATAACCAACACCTAATTGAACATGTGTCAATAATATTGCCGGTAACATCACTATATTCAAATGGACGTTTATTTGTGTTATACGCAATATTATAATAATACAATAATTTTTCACGTATATCTGAAGTAGAACATATTATCCAGTTATGCCTGTGATTTTTATAATGCACTTAAACTATATAGTATTTTAATCGATTTTGTTGATCCAGTTATCTACAAATATTTTGTTTACTCAATGTCAGTTTTTGAAAAAGAGCCAGACATACTTATTGCGTCGTGGGTAGGTCAATGTTGTAGGTGGGTGGTTTGAAAGGTATCGGATGCAGGATGGAAATTTACGTTGTCTAGGCATACTAAAGGAAACGATGAATCATTGCAAACAAATAACGACTCTGAGCGGAGTTCGGTATATACATGGTAAGTTCGAATAGGAGAGATTAGGTGGGTTTTTTAAAATTGTAGCTAATAAGTAATAAGTAAGAAATAAATCAACAAAAATAAAACCAATGTATTCCAATGCATTTGTTCATTTATATATTTTTTTTTATATTTAGAAAAACCGCTGGGAATTTAGACATTATTTTTTTGAACTTAATAACCACCGGGCGAAAAGTTTACGTACTTGTACTACTATGTAGGACGTGAACGATTTAGAAAATTTTTACAAATCGATAGGTTCTCGAAAACACCTTCGTAAGACTAATCGCTAGATATTGAGTGTATAGCACCGTTACACTCAGAATATAAAATATTTAACGTAAAATGCTTACATTACATAAATACCTGTATAAATATTTTTTATTTTAAGAGTAGGCACGTTGTACAATGTTTTTTTATACTACGTTATTTTTTCATAATATCATTATATTAAATTAATATAGTAGTATTTATAAATATTAATAATCATTTTTTTCAAATATAACCTACCTATCTATAATTAAATCCTGATCGCATTCAACGGTATCACCAACGTATTTTGTATTTTAGCTCATATCGTTCACGGCTATAAACTATTTCAAATCCAACTGAAAGTTCCTGATTCTATTTAGTTGGATTGTTATATCGGGGTTTTACTTTTATCATTTTTATAGTTTCTGGTTGTCATAATTATAGCGTGATCAGTAATTATGTCTATATAGCATATTATAGAAAATAAAATAATAAGAGAAGTTTCTTTTTGCTTTTACCTGATGTATGAGATCGGCGACTGCGTCCATGTGAGGCCTGAGGTCGGTCACCGTGGTATCAGTCACCGGTACTTTGTGATACCTGTGCACCGTGTCCGGTAACGGAGTGTCGGGTAGTTCGTCGGCGCAATTGATTAAAAAAGTCGGTTGCAGTATGGCTACTGTTTCCTTGTCCGTGTAAATGGATAAAGCGCCACACAACGCCAAACCCGGACAAATATACGACACGCTAAATCTTTGAAAAAATAAAAATAATAATAACATCAATAATACTCGTAGTTAATAGACGATAAAATATTATTTCGTTGGGAAATGTACGACCTAAGACTGTACGAAAGATTATTATTTACAGGCATTTATTAGACACTTGACTTTCGTGGCTGGGGAGGCGTCAATCAAATATTTTTATTCAGTTCAAGGGGATGACAAGCCTAATATTATCAAATTCTTCATTATTACCCTCGTTGAAAATTCTTTTCAGATGTATTCAGAATATGTTTTTGAACACTTGTGCAAATTTGTCTTTGTAAAATGTATTTGAATACTTTCTTTTGAAAGTATTTGAATATAAATATAAATACTCTTTAAAGCATTCAAAAGACTTTGAAAATACTTTTTTTCGGTACATTTGGTATACGTTAACCGATTTCTACATTTAACAAATCACAAATAAACGCTTAAACTTATCGATGAATATTTAATTTAAATAGATTCAAGAATTTCAGATGTTGCATATTAGCATATTATTCAATTATACTAGTAAATGATCGTATTAGACTGAGTGACTTTAGCCAGGTAGATCACATTATTAT